AAAGGACAGTCAGAAACAAGCTTACCAGGACTGCTTTGCAAAGTGGAAGCACCATTGGGATAAGTGTGTGAATAAAAGAGGGGAATACTTTGAAGGTGACAAGGACTAATAATCTGTAATTTGAAAAATAAAATTAAAAAAATAAAGTTGTTATTTTTTGAACAGACCTCATATGATATACAGAGGTGGTGTTCCTTGGAAGTATGTTCCTGCTCCAGGCATAGGTTGAGACTGAAAGGATTATTGTTGATGAAGAATAACTGCAGGTCAGATTTACTTTTCCAAATAATTAAAATGTCATCAGTATGCCTAAAGTATAATGCGATAGATGTTATGTTTGAAAGTAGACAGAATCTTTTTTTCAGTTTTTGGATGACCAGCTTACATAGACTGCCGGAAAGGGGGATTCCCATAGGAACTCCCTGTCTTAGGAACTGAAGTAAAGAGTAGTTGGGTATTCAAGATTTAATCTTGGGGAAGCTGAGATGAACAATAAAAACAATTTTAATGTGAATTCAATAAAATTCCCATTTTATGTGACCTCTAATTCATAAGTAATATAGATATAGAAAACACTACATAATATAAATAAAAAACTGAGTTTTAATTATGAAAAAAATTTTAGAAATGTTTTCTATCCTTTTATTTGGGAGTGCCAGGGCACCTTAACCCCCTCTGGGTGCACCACTGGTAAAGAGAACCCTCAAATTGGAAGAATAACAAATGGAATGTTAAATCGGCAAGGTTTAAAATATCCTTATATTGTTTAACAGGAACACTTGTATAGGTGAAAATCACAGAGTTCACATAAACAAAGTTCTATTTTTATAGAAGGGTATGATGATTTGAAATTGAAAACTATGATGTACAGTACATATCCATCCCCATTTGCATATTGTGTAAAAGCTCTGTAATAGGCATGGAATTTTTAACTAAATGATGATAGGTGCCCATGTTGTTGATAAACTGATAAGGACTCTTACAATACAAATTGTAGATGTTGACTTGTCTATGACTGGATGAATTGAATTGCCTTGTTTGTGTACCCTGGCAAAGAATATTCTCAACATGACAGGCTTTTTCATATGTAGAATTCATGGCAAAAGTGACTGACAATGAGTAAACTAGATGACTCTTATACTGCTTCTGAAGATATTAGAGGTCTGCTGTAAGGCATTCTGTATCGCTAACATAACTAAATAAACCTTGCCTGTAGGTAGATTTTTTAATAACCACAAGATATTTTGTTTTATCCATCCTGGTTATGACAATGACAATCTTTCATTCAAGCCTTATAAGCCTGCAGGAATGTTTTACCTATTAATTACAAAGATGATAATACATTGTCGTAAGCTTGAAGAGTTCCAACAATGAAATCTGAAATCCAACAAAAACACTAGATTTTTGTCTTGTTACTATCACCACTGTCCAATCATAGGGTGGCATTCTGTAACTTAAAATATTCTATTCAATTTAGCTTTCAACTTTCAAATGTTCTATGTAACCTGATGACAGTTGTTTAATACTATCAAAAACATTTGTTTTAAATTAAATTTTAAGTTTTTGCATTAGATTTTGGTTTTTGTATGTGAATACTTGTCATCCAATCTTCTGTAGCTGTTCAGTCAATCCAAAAAATGCTATTCTACTTTTAATAAAATAGCATCTTTTTAATCTTCAATGTTTTGTAAAACTTAAAAAGAATAATTTTATATGAGCTTAGATGGTAATTAGTTAGCATAAATAGTTTTAATTGTCAATATTTTGAGGCTAAAAAGAACATGATCCCTTAAAAATTTTTAAAAGAAATAAATTAGAATTCTAAACAAAGCTCTGAAACCACTTATATACAGCAATCTTGTTAATGAGAGAATATTTTGCAAAACTAAAATGAGATCAAGCCATCCTCTCCCAAGACCAAGAGAATACTGAGACATTCCCTATTAAGACCAAGACATTTTCTCCCAATACCAAGACAAAACCAATACTTCCTCTACTATCAAATATCTCACATCCAAAATTTTTAAATTTAGATAAAATACTAAATTTAAAACTAAAAAAAACTAAATTTGAGAAACTTATTATATAACATAGTTACAAAAGTTAATTATTAAAACAACTAAACTGAATTACAAATAATGAAATAAGCTTCAAATTTAGAATGTTATTAGCATTACAATGCATTTACATTTATCTTACAAGCTTGCCTAAAATGTGTCATGAAATATAGAATTATATCTATTCCGTGAAAAAAGTATTGACTAAACAAAACAGCATTTGAAGGACTTTATTACATTTTTTAAAAATCCAGCAACAAGTTTGCATAACTTTCCTGGCAAAAACATTTAAAATTTCAAGTGGCACCATATTTTATTTTTAAAATTTTTTATATTATTATTTATTATAAAATGGCAAAAAGCTTAATTTTGCAGGTAGAAATGAATTTTATAAAAAATTTTAAATGTTAATAACAAGTAAAATCTTCATTAAGTCTGACCTTATTCAAGATATGACACACAACCCCCTATATATCCCCATCTCCTCGACCTTTAACCACCAAAATTTAAGTGCATAATGAAGTCACTTTGAGAAAAAAAAATTCCCTCAACAAGCATTGAAGTTGTTGGGATGTAAAATACACAAGAACAAAGTATGCTCAGTACAATTCAGTACTAGCATCTATATCATGTTGCCAGAATACTTTTAGCATTGATCTAACATGTGATATAAGTAATTATTAATGTATTAATAATTTTATTATTTTAAATTTTCCAAAAGTTTTTACTTTCCAAGACAAGACCGACACTTCATTGTCTCAAGACTTCACAAGACTACTATACAGCAAACAAAAATATATCTGTGCACTATTTTTAAATATACATAAATTTCATTTTTTACTCATCATCTTGTTTACTTTTTAATTTAATTACTGTGCTATCATCATGTAATGAGAAAAACTGTACTCATTTTTTTTCTTTGGTTCACTTTTTATTTTCCTGACTATTGTATATAAACAGGGAGAAAGTATGGCAATTGATCAAAAAATGAACCCTAAAAATTTTCACATTTTTGGACTCAGGACCTTGAAATGTCAAGAAATGCAAAGTTGATGTCTTTCTGTATTTGTGTGTGGGGAACAGGAGACTTGTGCATTAGGAGTATTGAGGCTATTAAATTTTGGTAGTTAAAGGTCAACAGGGTGGGAGAGAGGGGAATCATGTGTCACAAATGAGGTCAAACTTAAAATTTTACTTGTTATTAACATTTAAAATTTTTTTATAAAACTCAACTCTACCCTCAAAATTAATCTTTTTGTCATTTTATAATATTTAATTATATAAAAAGTTGTTTTAATAAAATCTCAACAGATGATGTCCCATACAATTTTAACTATTTTGCCACAAAAATTACACAATACTCTGGATTTTCTTTTAAATGTCTGCTGGACAAAACAGTTATGTTAAAAGGTGACATAAACTAGAGATCTTTCTCAGATCCACAAATAAAAAATTATTTTATTAGTGATTTAAATATAAAATGAAACATGTAATATTAGATTATTAATATTATAATCTCTTCTTTTATAATATTATTATAAAAAATAGTATATAAGAATCATTTCATATTATTGTTAACAAAAGCTTTGGATGGTAAAAACTTCAGAGTGCAATACTGTAATACTCTGAATACTTTCCTTACATATAGTTAAATAATGAATTTTAGTATATAAAACAATTAAATTTCAGTAATCAGCCAATACAATTACAATATCAGTCACAATAAAACTAATTTTTACACTTTTATTTAAACTCTTTCTTATAATCACATTTACTTCTAATAGTGAATACCACTCTAGATTTCTGAATTCTCGAAACAAATCAAACTGGGTGTCTGTCTGTCTATGACATACAAATATCACTATTTTCGATTATAATTCAAATCTCAACATCTATACAATATTTTATTAGATTAAATAGATAATAGTAATATATTAATTGATAGTGACTGTCATAAAGTATGTCATTAAGAATATTGATGGCTACATAAGGAAGAAATATCAAATTATGTTAAATCTGTTTCTGCATATAACTACTAGTTCTGGAACATTAAAGCAACTGATTTTATTTATCATCGATAAACTACTACTAATTTTCCTGAATTATTTACATTTGCATTTTACAATTTGCTATAATTCTATTTTACCATCAAAGAGCTATTCGACAAGTGATATCGAGCTGCTACACATTTTACATTTTTGACACATCCAAATATAATCTACATTGTTTTGTGTATCTTTCACTTTTTCATAGAGAAAATTAAAAACCATAACCAAAAGAAGCTAAAAGATTATAAACATCTTTCATAATAGTAGCGAGGTTGCAACCAAAGTTTTCATCTATAAAACATGAATATCTAATACCACTTACACATATGTTCACGTTTTAGAGATGAAAACTTCGGCCGCAACCTCGCTATTACTTTCTTGACAAAAATTGTATGAAAGTAAATGAAATTCACAACAGAATCATTTGATCTTTACAAACATTGACAAAAACACACCTTCAAAAGAAAATAAATGTCACTTTTACAGAACATCTCCAACTTATGCAATTGCCTTACATTAATTACAACAGAAGTATAAACAAACCAATAAACATTCCAAATTTAGCAACGTCAAACCGCATATAACGCGCACAAAATAAATGCCATTTTATAAATATTTATTGGAAAATTGTTTCGTGTGAAAATGATGTAACCTTCCAAAATAGTATAATTACGAATTTAAAAACCTTTCAAACTCGAAAGTAAATAAAGTATCAAATTGTTCCTTGTTATAATGCGTATTGCTTTTATTATCAATCGTAATCGTGTCAATTTCCTTCTATTGTGTCGTTTCTTTCTATTATGAAGTCCGTCGTTATTTAAGTTATTCAAAAATGTATATACGTAAGACATTTGTTAAGACAAATCTGCGAGAGATACTTCTAGTTTATTCTCACCTTGCCGGCACCACCTTCTGGGTCAAGAGTCTTGTTTCTGTTTACTGAGACGAGAGTCTCCACTTCGGAGACTGTACGGTACCGAGATTAAATTTAGCATGGTTCGTGTCATACGTAATTCGTTTGACGTATGATAAATTTGTTTAAAAATATCAATTTTTATGTAATAAATTTTATGTTTTCTCGCTTCGAATTAATCTACGAGTTAATTATTGTTAATAGATTACGTGGAAAATTGATGAAATTTTTAAATTCAAACCATGTTTATCGTTTTAAAATGTCACGTGGTTTTGGTATTTGTTGTTGTTTTGAAATAGATCTTTTTTTTTTAGTGTTCGGTCCATGTTTTTCGAGTTATGATAAAGTTGGAAATTGTCTTATTTTTCGATTGAATTTTTATACACTTATATTACAGTGTTATTAACAGGTGAATTACATGAAAACGTTTTATTTAAATAATTAATAATGCCATTAAATTATGAATTTCATGTTTTATTACACCAAATTACATTTTTACACTAAAATAGCCGATAAAACTTGACAAATTTTTATAATTATTGTCCATTTATTCTTGATAACTATTACAAATAAGTTGTCTGATTTAAATTTTTCAATAGAATTTTTGTTGCATATTATTACTATGTTCTATATAGAGTCAATTTGATTAGATATAAATGTTCTGCAGAATAAATTTCTCTTATTTCAGTAAATTCTTAAATTGTTAATTCATATCTGTATAGAATAACTAAGTCTATAAATTTGTATAAAAGTTGAATGAAAGTGGGAAATTTGAGAAAAAATAACTTTAAAAGATCAAATTTACATGAAATTGAATATAGACTACAAGTTTAAGATTTTATTGAAAAATGATATATTTACTTCATATGGAATTTCATATTTCAAATTAAAATTGTTCTGTAGAACACACAGTGTATAACAAAATGGTTAATACATTTAATAAGTAATAAAATTGTTACTTGCTATTTAGTTCACAATCATAAGCATTAATTTTTATTCTCTAATATTATTCTTTTCCTTGTAAAAATAACAGAAAAAGACTATGCTGAAATAAATTGTTTTTATTTTTGAAAAAAATAATAAAATTGTTTTGTGATTTGAAAATCAAATGTGAAAATGGAAGCATTTAAAATTTAAAAATTGATTTTAAAAACATTCTGTACTAAACAGGATAAACAAATAGATTCTCTAAATCTATGTAATTTTTATTTATTATTTTGTTTGTTAATCCCTTTCCAACATTAGATTTAATTCACACTCCTTTCTATATTGATATAAAACAAAAATAAATTAGAAATAAAATGAATTAAAAAAATCAAATAAGTATTATTTAATTTGTTTTTTACTTTAGTAAAATTTAAAGATATATTATTACTATATATAAACTTTGTCCACCAACCTAAAACAGTCCCTAATAATTTGTCATTCCCAAGTAAATCAACTAAGTCCTTGGAGACACTAGTGACCAGATTGAGAAACATCTGATATAGATTTTTTGCAAATTCGTGCCATCTTATCTAATTTTACTGTATATTATTTTACTGCTTTAATATTAAGTAAGGTTAAGTTATATTATTATTAATCAACATTTTAAATGAACTTTATCAATTTTTTGTTTTAATTTCAGATACTTTATTTTAACTAAAAAATTTTTCCTCTGACATCTAAAGATTTTATTCATGTATTGATAGATTATATTAATTTATATAAATTGGACTGATTGGTGGTGTTATTTATAGCCATCCAATATCTTTAATGTTAAATTTTCCCTCTTATAAATTTTTAAAATTTATCTGAAACATTGCTTTTTAAGTTCTAAAAATGTTTTAAAATCTAACATATGATATAGTAATTGTATAATTAAATTCATCTTCATAAAAAAATTCAAAACTGTAGAGTAATATAAGAATTACTGTAACTGGATAAGTATCTGAACAAATGAACAGCAAACCTTGAATAACTCCAGCAATAAATTTTAATAGGCCAAAACATTTTTGACCTACTCATATAGGTCTTCATCAGTTGGAACAACAAAAATAAGATTTTCTGCATATAATAAATCTTATTGTATCTTAATAAATCATAATAATTTGAAAATGTATTAATAATTTAACAACTTTGATAATTTAGGCAAGCATTTTGCCATTATTATTAATTTTAATCATCAAGTAGTCATTATTTTAATTAATTTAGAAATTAATCAAAATACCAGCACAAACCAGGATTCAAACATACTTTCAAACTAGGTTGCATGTTAATAGTAATGTTATTTGAACTATGATGAACAGTTCTACATAAATTTTAAGATATTGTATAGCATTTAATTATTAAATGATTTTTAATTTATAATTAGTTTAATCATAAGTGCTGACTTAAAACATTATTAATCCTTTAAAATGAATAATCATAACATATTTGCTATTTGTTTCTTTTGGACAATAGTAATATATTGCCACTTAATACTGATATACTATATATTTCTAATTCTGAAACATGTTCAACAGTACTCCAACTTAGTACAAAGTGACTTTGCCATTTGAAATTGCTATGAATGAGTCTTCATTTGCCTGATATTTTGCATCAGTTGACCTTTGTGACATTTTTATCAAAACAGATAAAGTATTTATAATCTTAATTGCAAATTTTGCCCATTTGGGTTTGATTGTTGATATTTGTCATTGTATTTATGATAATTATTTGCAAACATATTAGTTATTGTAGATTTTCTCTATGAAAATATTTAATGGCAAGTTATTTGCCAGTATCTGAAATGAACAATATACTGGGTGCATTGCTGCTTCTGTCCAATGTAAAATCAACCATTCATCTAACCTATTTGTGCCATTGTGTTCTAATTTTTAAGTTATTTATTTATTTTTTATTTATAGATGGTATGTAATGGTAATGGAAAGCTACTAATTTATAAATAATTTTAGATGAATCTTTATTCATTGTCTGACATTAATTGGATTCAGAAAATGAAACTGATTTTGATGTAGATGAAGTAATAATAACAAATTAAATTATTTTTATCACAGAATTTACATTCAAAACTATCCATTAGTATTTATGTGTGATCTGCTTTAGAAGAATTATCAATATAATAGAAGAAGCTGCAGATATATTGCAATTTGAAAATGATGATGATGATTATGATAAACAGTAATGTGATCCAAATTATCTCTTTCTTGTTTCAAAAGAAAATCCATCAAGAAAAGAATGCGTAAACAAAAGAAACAAAATTATGATTCATTATATTCCAGCTAGCAATAGTGACAATTGGAAAATAAATTTACCCATAATAATAAGGACACAGAATGACCAATATTTACTGACTGAAATGTTTTAGCATTTTGTTAAAAACTGAGGTCAACATAGTCATGTTCTTCTCTTGATATTTCAGTCAAAATAATTTAATAGACTCTTATACAAATGAAGCTATAAAACTGATTGTGAATCAAACAAATCTGTATACAATAAGAAGTGAACTACCTTATTGGAAAGATGTGACTGAGAAGAATGCATAGCTTGGATAGGAGTAATAATGTAGTAAAAAATCAAAATATTGACAAGAATTGACCAATACTGGTCCAGTGATTGATTCTTCTTTTTTTTTTTTTTTCTTGTCGGTTCAGTAGATCTGCATCAAAACAAATGATTCTAATAAACTCTAAGTTACAATAACTGATATACTGCATTTTTCTTTCATGAAAATGCAAGACATTGATCAAATATATAAGTCAATGAAGCAATAATTTCTTTCAAAGATCACAGAACATTAAAATAGAACATCTTTGAAACCAAACAAATGAGGATATAAAGTCTTGGCAATGTGTGAATATAAAACTGGATATTATACTTTTAAATTATCAATAGAAAAAATCCAGAAAGTGAAATAAATGTTGAGTTACTTAAATTTGTTTAAAATGTTTTTGTAAAAATCTATGCTTAATTTCAAATTGGTCATTGAAATTCTACAAAAAAGTAAATAAGTACAGATTTCATTTTTTCTACAATACATAAAACTGAATATGTTTTGTATAATGTATTCTATTTTTTTAAATATAATGCCGGTTTTAAAAAGTAAAGAGTAAAATATCACTTATAAATAAAACATAAAAAATATCAAATTAATGTGTAAGAAAGTACAGAAATTATTATAATTACCAGTAATTATCATATATTAACATGACAATTTGCTTTTTAATTACTTAGTTAAATCTTAAACTCACTGAATATTAATTATATTTAACATTTTGTTTTAGAGTTTTCTATGTAGGCTAATTATAGGCTATCCACTTAGATTAGGTCAGCAATCTTCTTTTCACTACAACTTTTTTTAATTTGGATAGAAACCAAAGAACTAAGAGCCATTGGATATATAAATGAAAAATATGATCAAAACAGATTACAATTGTAGGCTTATTGACATCAGTTTTTTAAAGGGCAAACTTAATAAACTTAATGATCACTTTTAAGAACAGAGAAACAAAAAGATGCTTCCAATGATATATCATTCAGTGAAATTATGAAAACTTTTTTAAAACTTCTTTATACTTATCGTTATGCCATAGCGACATACTTAGCAATTAACTTCCATTGCCAACTTTGCCGCTGTGATATAGATCTAATTTTTATATTTTCAATTACCACTGCTTTCTTTTATTTATTTATTTTTCAATTTGTTCCAGTCGTCGTTCTACTTATTTTCACATTTTCTTCTTATCTTCTCGTATTTTACTTATTTTATTTTTGTAGGACAGAGTTATCTTAGTCTCATTTAATTAAAACTAATTCCGTTAATACTGTCAAGCTACATTCTCATGTATTGTAAACTTTCACTCTCACTTTCTCTTCCATTACGTCACATTTGCGCATCTGCAGGGTGTAAGATTTAAAAAACCTACAATATGCAGGTTTTACGCTGGTAATGACTATGTACGATGGAATAAAAGAAACTTCATTTCCGAAGCAAACATCTTGAAATTTTCTATAAAATCTGTAGTGAAAGTACGGTACAGTACATACGTGATTGAAAAGTTTGAGCCTACAGAACGATAGGCCTGATGGCGTTTTCAGTGAGACGAAACGGGCTTATTTTTTAAATGCTACCGGAAAAACAGTGATGTTAAAAGGTGATTCGCGTTACAGAAGTAAAAAAGCAGAGAATGTGTAACTCTTCTTTTGGGATCAAACATGACAGGTAATAAAGAACTACCATCGCTATTAATTAGAAAATCTTTGAAACCTCGATCTTTCCGCAATGCCAAGACGCTACCCATAACTTACAATATTTAGCAAATAAAAAAACATAAATGATGTCAATACTTTTCTGTAACTGGATGAAAAAATTAGAAACTCGCATTATTGCCGAAAACGGAAAACTTATTTTATATACACAATTGCAGTCCATGTTTAATTTAACGATTTCCACTTGAAGTTCAATTTTTATCGGTAAATACAATTTTTAGATTGCAATATTTGTATCAAGAAATCATTGAAAACTTTAAATTATGACACAAACTTAATCGTACGAAAGATGTTGCGTGTTATTGAGATTGATCCCATCAATTTGCGTGACTTGCTAGTAGATTCAATGCGAATGGCTAACAGAGCTTAGAATGAAGTTTCACAAAGAACCATTGCAAATTACTTCACAAAAAAACAGATTTAGGCCGACAATTTGTTGGCACTTCGAATAAATTGGAATTCGTCAGAATCCAATGACTACATCAATGACGACTAGACTGATCTCGTTACAAGAGATGAAAAGTATCATTTGGAAGGATAATACTTGTTTGACTAATAGTGTCAACGTTTTGTTTTGTACATAAACGTATCTAAAAGTTATAGATGATGTATTTAAGTCTGATTGTATTGTGATATTTATCCCGTTGAAATAATAGTAGTATCCATAACTCGAATTTCATTAACTAGAAACTTTTTCTATCCGTTCAACTTCGAATTATCGAGAGTCTACAGTAAATAACCTACCAATAACAAAGCTTGTAAGAAGCCGAAATTTTCACGGATAAAAGTGTGCACTTATTAATCTCCAACAGAAGAGTGTTTACATAAAAAAATCGAAATTTTATTAAATTCTTTAGGCTCATAAATATATATATATATTTGTTGTTATTCTATTGCCAAGATGACAAACTGGGTTAATTCAAATAATCAACTGGTTCAATGATTCAGAGTCGCCAGACATTGAATCATTGAATTAATATTTATACTAATGACCTAATATTTGTTAAACTAAATGATATATGATTATTTTAGTCCAATTTCGCTTACATTTGAGAATACGTGAAATATTTTACTGGCAGATAAATGCTGAAGATAAGAGGAGATAAAGCTTCAAATATTCATTTAAACATTTAATTAAAATGCTTAGTAATCGGTTTCGTAACTTAAACACGATAATAAGTCAAATTAATAAAATGTAAACATTAATGTTAAAAAGATGCAGCGACAGTCAGAACAGTCTGGGCGCTTACTACTACGCAATTCTTTTATTATTATAAAATTTAATATTAGTTATAAGTTTAAAATTACTTTTAAAATGTTATATTAAAATCATTTATAAAGAAATGATTTTATAAAAAGCAGTAATTTAAGAATACATTGATGGGAAAAGGCAATGCAATACGCGCAATCTTCTAAGAGAGGTGTGCCTCCTAAGAAGACTTTCAATGTGTTTGTTTGTTAAGTTATGGCAACGCAATACTTGGGCGATCTGCCTAGGGGGATGCCTTCCGGGAGGTCTTTTTAGGGAAACTGGCCCCTATTTAGGCGTTACAGACGTGGAGAAAATCCGGAAAACTCCACGTGGCCAGCCCGTCCGAGCGATGCGCGAACTCACGACCGAACTCCCAATGTTCAGGATACGAAGACCGCTTGGCCACGGGTAGGCTCTACTTTCAATGTGAAACTGGTCTTTATGTAGATGTTAGACATCTGAAGGAAAGTCAAAACTCCACGCGGCTAGTCTGTTGAGCAGCAAACCTGTTCACAAGTTCATCCACTCATCCACTGGTGAGCCTTATATAAATTGTAGTATATTTTATTACATGTAGTACAATAAAACATGGAAACAAGTTTTTAGTTTTTTAGTATTAAGTAAATTCATATCTACTATATATGTAGTCTTGCATGCTGAGAATTGTTGTCTTTGTCGGATGACGATATTTGATGATTTACAGGTTCACAATGGACTTTGAACAGTTTTATTTATCACTCAATGGTCAAGTTATTTTATTGAGAATAATAAAGTATTAGTACTAAATATCAAAACGAAATAGAACATAAACATTTTATTAAAATTTTATTATGTAATGATAAATAGCAATGAATACTGTATAACACATAAATTGTGTTAATGTTTAATGGAGCATTAGTTGGGCTGCAATTTGGAAACATTGTAGACCTATAAATTCCCACTGTCGTCCGTCTGCCTATCTTTCCTTAATCTCGAGAACGATGCTAGATAGATGAATGACGAAACCAGAATATGGAAACCTTAGGGACAAGAGGCTCCGATTAACTGTATATGAACTTCCGATGTAAACTGAAAGTCACGTTATTTTAATTCAAAAATTTTCCCCTGAAAGGAGTTAGATAAATGACCGGCATGACTGTATTGTTAAAGGGAAAGTATGATGTGCAGGGGCAATATATTACAGTAATAATTTGAGGTGGAGATCATATAATTTAAGTTAAATAAATTTAAAATATGATTAAAAATTGCAGCCTGACATTGTGACGATATCACAATAAATAATTACTCGTTACTAGTAAATTTAATAAAATAAAAATTTAATAATAATAATTGATTAAAATGTACTAATTAATTTATATTTAATTTACTTGATTTAAAATAAAATTTGCATGAAAAGTTTTATTTGAGATATTTAATGAAAATAGTTAATTTACAATTAAAAATATTTCAATGACACAAAAAAAAATAAAAAGTTTTTAGTAATAACGTTTCAACAATTTGATTTTGGCATTGTTTTTGTATTCAATAATCGGTAAGTTTTTCTAAAATCTGAAATATTTTACTAGTAAATTAATGGTATAATGTATATAACTTTTTAAAATACTATTTTTGATTAAAAATCTTAATATTTTTAATGTTATTATGAAGTATTAAATTGATTTGGTAGTATTAGAAAGTGGAAAATGAAAAAAAAAAATATGTCGAGCCAGTCACCCGCATTATGGGCTTAGCCGAATCCACGATGGGTATGGGATGACTGGGTGGTGAGGGACGAGGCCCGACACTTTATTTTATTAAGGCAATACTTGGGCGATCTGCCTAGGGAATATGCCTTCCGAAAGGTCTTTTTAAGGGTAACTTGCCCCTATTTAGGCGTTACAGACGTGGAGAAAATCGGAAAACTCCACGTGGCCAGCCCGTCCTGGCGAGGCGCGAACCGACGACCGAACTCACAGTGTTCAGGAAACAGAACCGCTTGGCCACTGGTGGGCCTATCCGGAACAAACCGCCTATGAAATATTGCTGGATATTTTTGCTCACACGAATTCAAATTCCGGAATCCCCAGAATGGGAGGCTGACGCCTTTTTCGCCTCGGCCATTCGGTTGTCTACACAAACAATTTGATCCTTCTGTTTAACAAAGAAAAAATAAACTGAACAATACAAAAATAAAATATTTAACATAAAACAAAAAAGGTAGTTTCTCCCGGGATACGTATTATAAGTTTGTTTATCAAAAGTCGACAAATAGCCTACTCCGAAAGAAAGATTCGTATTAGAATAAAAAATTGCGAAAAAGAGCATTCTCTGATTCGGTGATTTGTACTTGAAATTAAATGAAATTGATTAATGAAAAACTTCAGCTTGTAAAAGTTTCAAAAATTATTTATTATGTAATTAATATTTATTTAGTAACATATTATTATATATAAGAGTTAAATGCAGATTGTTTAAAGTGAAAACTAAACTTTCAGTTATCTTTTAAGTTTTATAGCTCTATAATATGAAAGAAAAATGTCGGAGAAAAAAAATCAACCGCAAAAAAAGATTTCAAAAAAATCAAAAAATCCGCACTCTGAAGATGATGAAAAGTGAGAAATTTTTTATAATTTAATAAGAGAAAGAATATACCAGTTGTTCAAAAGTAACGCATCAGAGGATTCTTTCACACACAGCACATGTGTGGTACAGTACCTATATGGAATGTTGTCAGGGAAAAATTTAATTTACGGTGTAAAATGTAAATCGTCATAATATTTAATCATCATGATATACGATGCAAGTTTATTATTATTTAACTTCATGATTAAATATTGTGGCGATTTACACCGTAAATTACATGTTCCCCGTAAATTACAGTATATACATGCTATGTGCGAAAGCATCCTCTCGAGTGCATTACTGTACTTTTGAACAACTCTCTATATTACACATGCATATATATATATATATTCTTTTTTCTATATATGTTCATCATGTTTTAGTATAATGAATTTGTTCAAAATAAATTTTAATGCATGAATTTTTTAAAATTATTATCCAGCAGTGCCCATTCAATTAAACCAGGAGAAATTAATGATTATTCACGAAAAAGTATTCTGAAAACATCAAAAAATTTCCAACCTACAAATGAAAAGTAATAAAAGTATTTTTTTATAATTAGGATAATTTGAAAATGTTTTCTGTTTAAAAATAATTTTATTTTCTTAATATTTTATTTAGAATATTTCAATAATCATTCAAGCATTTTAATTTAATATCAATATACATTATTTTCCATTATAAGATCTATTAACAAATTTAAATATAAATGTTCTATACCTGACAAATATTTTGTATACATTTCCAATATCATATGTATTTGTTTTTTCAGCAATGGTTGTACTTAATATTACATTGATTAAATAGAAATTCAGTCTTGTAACATTAATGTACCAATTTGATTCTCTTTTTGTATTTTATTCTGTATTATAGTCAATTTAAATGTATTTAGCTTTTTACAGTATCCAGCTTTAAGGCCTATGCATAAAAATGTTTTACATGTATGATCAATCAATTAATCAATCCATGTTTAAGTTATTAATATCATTAGTTTATATTTAAAAACAAAAATGACATTACTTTAATGTTAAACTTTTTATATCATTGAAAGTGTATGCTACAAATTAAAACAAGAAATTAATTTTAAAAAATTAAAAATTGCAGTGCTTTCATCCTTCTACAATAGACCCTTCATTAGGCAATCTATAATTTAATAAAAATGAATATCATTTTCTTTTCTTTTTGAAAATTAGAACATGCATAAAAAGCAATTAAATTATTATTAATAAATATCTTAGTTGCTCATTGATTAAGAGCAAGTCTTTTCAATTTTTATTAAAATAGATTCAGTAATAACTCTTGGATGTTTTGAGTGAATATATGATTTTGATCTCATTCCACACTTTGATTAGTTGTGTTCTTTGTTATGTTTCTCACATTTATATTCTTGAGGCCTCTTCTTTTGAATGCTCTTTTGGTTGCTCCTATATAGAATGATAAGGATTGAGAACAACAAGGTATAAATTCCTAATTTTTTTTTACAACATTCCTATCTTTTCCTGTTTCAATGTTTTATCTTATTTATTTTAGGTTAGAATTAAACTGAATTATATTTATTGTACAATGTATTAGCTCACAAATAAATTATATGATTTGATTTTGCTTATAGTAGATAATCTCAATTTTAATAAGATTTTTCATTTATTTTGGTTTTATCTACAATACAATTTTTTTGATATTATGAGACTTATTGTGGTTTATGGTAATTTATAGAAGACATAAAAACAATAGAAATAGTCCTTTGAAAAATTCTAACTAGCTATTATAAATACTCAAAAATAATCAAATTATTTATCAGCATTCTGGTTTATTGTTTAATTAGTTTGTAACTTGATGATGGTCACTGAAAATAATTGAAATCATTAGTTCTTACAATAACCCAGTGCTGGTAAATAACTTGATTATTCCTGAGTATAATGAAGATAGTTTGATATAATAAAATCACCTTTCAATCTATTTTTGTTAATAATTATGGAAAATAAAACATTTACCAGCTCATTGTTATTCTAAAAAATTAATTTTGCTTTGCTAAAGCTGTTTCAAATATTTTCAAATACAGATATTTTTCTTAAACTATTATAAGAAATAATCTAAATATATAAAATTACTTGTCCTGACTGACTGACTTAGTCACTGATTCATCATCGCCCAGAGCAAACTGCTGAACCTAAACAAGTGAAATTTGGTACACAGAGTACATCATGGAAATGCACACTAAGAAGGGATTTTTCGAAATTTCCCAGCGGGGGGAGAGGGAGAGCACTAAGGCTTAACCAGAAGAATGGCTTCTACTGTAATATTTTAGATGCAATTTTTTGTTTTTAACTGTGTTTTAGTAGGGTATGCCATGGGAATGCACACTAAGAAGGGATTTGTTGAAATTTCTCTGCAGGGGGAGGGAGAGAGAGCATTTCATTTCATACATTGTTATAAATATTTTTATATATTTCTATTTTTTAACCAAATGTTTGAACCGTTTTAAATTCAAATTTGCTATTGCATATTCGTTTGATTATAGAATAATTGTACATGTTCCAGAAAATTCGTCAAATTGAAAACAGTTCATTTGATTCTCGGGAATTCTCATCATTCTCAGTGGTAGGTGTTATATAACAATTACTATGGTTGTTGAAATACTGAATATAAATGGGGTTTGCTTGCAAAACCTCTGCAGGCGAAGTCGGGGTAACAGCTAGTAATTGTATAAAGCAGAAATAAACAAAATTAATGTATTGAATGGATAATATGCAAAACTGTTATTTTTAAATGAAAAAAATTCATTTTTCTAAATCCCATATTCATACTTGTATAAAAAATGAATATGTTTTATGGAAAAATGTAAATAAATGATTTCTAGACTTATATTCTTTGATTCATGATGAATGTTAAATCAATTATATCATGAGGATTTTCTTTTAAAGATGTAGTTACTTATATAAGTATTCATATATATAATTCTAAACTCATTTAATTCAACAATTAGCTAACTAATGATCAAAGTGTCAGTACACTTTAATATGAATTATCCAAAAAGAAAGAACACTTTTATTTTTCCTTGCATCACTTAGAATGAATTTCCAACTTAACTATCTTCTTTGAAAATATTTATTAAACATTTCTTTCCTTATATTATTTTCCCTTCTAATTTTGCTGATTAATTTAATTAAATTTTTAAGTTTAGAATATATTTTTATGTTTTTAGTAGCAATATTGACAAACCTGTTAAATGGGATGAAATGAACATATTACAAACATTACATCCACCAGATAAAGATTATGGTCATATGATAGTAGATGAACCTAAAACCCCATTCACACATTATGACATTGAAAAAGAAGCTTCAGATGAGAAAGTCTCACTTGACGTTCAGTCACTAATAAAAAAGTAATATCAAATAATTAAAATTTAGATTTTTATTCTATACAGTTTACTGTATCTATCTTACATATATGTATTTTAATAATATTATGCATCTTTTAGAATAAAAGAATTACCAACAAGACGTGTAAATGACACAAATGAAGATAAATATAATGAATATGGCATAGATAAAGGTAAAAAAAAAAAACAAATAATTTCTTTAAATAAGAGCTATACAATTAAAGCATTTTTACTTCATATTATAAAAATTATAATGGGTTATTCAGAAATTAGCTGATTTTAAAATGTATTGCGTATTCAACATTTAGACAATTATCATCAGCATAAGAGAGGACATAATTAAAATTATCTATTCCAACACAGTTGCAGCCAAATAACATCAGAATGCTTTTGAATATTGATAAACAGCATTATTGAAAATATTTTTTTTCTTTATAGAAAAACCTTAACTATCAATGAGAAATTATACTTTATTCATCAGAACAATTAGTGTTGATTGTTCCAGGTGGAACATATGTTTATCTTGACTAGAAAATACTGTAATTTTTGAACTTTGTTAGAAACTGCTAGAGTCAGTATTGAATAGTCCCATTACAGCCTTGATTTAAACTTCAACAAACTTTGCAATATAGGGAGGCAACTAAAGATAAAATCTGTCTCCAATGGAGTACATGCAGATTCTTCATGTACCGTACACATCAGAGATGCAATGAAAGGAATTTCAGCAGGAGTCAGACACCAGTTTTATGAATGCCTACAGAATTGGTTATGTCTGCAAGCAAATATTTTAAAAATTATATTTTGTAGTTCATTTACTACTTAATTAATTGCATTTGATTTGATGTGAATTGAATTTGCACTTTTTGAATAATTAAATTTTTTTGTCAGGACGTACACATGCACCACTGTATAATTTTTTTAATAAAACTGAATAACTATGAAAATGTTAGAAAAAATATGTTGTAAATTATTATTTTTATGATTGAAATCTAAATTCAACTTCTGTTATTTAAAATTCTGTTAAGCTTGAATATGAATTTAAAATTATTCCAGATAAAAAGAAATCTTTTGAAGAAAAAAGGAAGTTGCATTATAATGAATTCTACGCTATAAAATTAGCTAAAACATTAATGAGTCAAGAGGAAGAAGATAGTGACGAAGAAACAGCAGGAAAATCTGATGCTAGTAAAACTAAATCAAATAAAAAAAAATAGTGATGATTTCACAATTTGCTCAAAAACATCACTTTCTTACAACATTTAAAACATAAAATTTAATTATAATGTAAAACTTTTAATTAAATTCTATTTTCACATTTAATAAAAACCTTATGAAATCTGATATTCACAACTCAATGTATTTTGAATATTTTATACAATATTTTATAATGCTAATATGGATTGCAGTATTATTTATATATTATTTCAATCATTCTTATTACATAATTTTGTAGAAAAGATAAAGGTTACAAATATAATTCAATAAAATATCCTATAAAAAATTAGAAGTATTTATAGTTTATTTTATATTTCATATATATAAAAGATTTTTAATACAAAATAAATTTTATATCATGTTATAGTCATTACATGTTTTTATTATTAATTTTATTTATATATAAATTTTTAATACTCATATGTGTGTATGTTCTAAATGTTTGATAGCTATTTGTATCATAAGGAATTCTTACAGATCACTTTGGAGAAATAAATTTTAATCATACTTTTTTATTTTTAATACTTCAAATATAAGTTGTTCTATTAAAGCATTAAAAAAATAATACAGCTTTGTATTCAGATCTTGTAAAGGTTATTCATGTGCATTTTTTAGAGAAACTGACATTTTTGTAAAATATCAACAAAGATCTGCTGCATTTTGTGAGGTTCTGGACAGGTCTGAACCATTATGAAATTAGCAAAAATTTAGTTGATTGGGAGAAAAAATTTATTTGTTAAAAAAGGGCAAGGAAAATGTTTATAGTCAGACACACTTTTATTTATGTTAAAATGTAAAACAGAGTCATAAATCTTAGCAGGAATGTTGCCCTACAATCATTTGGAGATCGAATTCAGCTCTGAGTTTGATCTCTCCTGAACTCCGAGCTGGAGTCCTGTTACACTTAGTAATGAGGGACCAGCCACTCGGAAAGTGAGGATGAAGAAGATCAACCAATTGGAAGGCCCGATTGAAAACTGGAGATTGATATAATCCCTGATCTTGAAGGACAAAATCACTTTTCGTAAACTGTGCACCTGCACACAGTGAGTCAATAGACTCTCTGTATGCGAGATGCAGAGTGTCATTGCATTGAGAGAGGCACTCTCTCTCCCTTCGGATAACTCTTCTAATTGTGTCATCAAAGCTATTCTCCCTTTGCACTATCCACTGTGCTGAGTGCCATATCACCTTTGTCTGCCAATGTCACCAACCAGTCAACAGGAAACTACTAGAAGGCTGGAGTCACATCACTCCTCTATGTCGGGAAGAATTACAAATGATAGACTGTAACAAACCAGCTAGACCATGTAAGAATCCTTTCTGCAAATAATAAAGTTTCTTTGTAAGACATTTGTCGTCTGCCTCCTCAGCACCACCCACATATGCAAATCCTTAGACCATCCTGATTCAGAAGTAACACTTCAGAAGTTCCCCCTGACAGTTGATGAACTCAGAATTTTGAAATCAATGAATGTTTTCAAAACACATTTTTTATATTGCGTATCAAGCCTTTCAGTAAGAATGCATTAATTTTCAAGTTAGATAAACATTTTCTTAGCAAAAAATGACAAACAAAAACTTCAATCTTAATGCTTTTATACTTCATAAACTAAGTTCTCATTATATACAACTTTATTTTAAAATAAATATTAATATTTAATATTCAGTTAAACTTCAAATTTTCTATTTGGCTATTTGGAACTGGTTTTTTAAGATACATTTTATAGATCTGTATGTGGAGCGAGAGAAACCAAATTTGTAAAATTACTTTGAAATAAAGTAAAATATATATTGTCTTTTTTAAACCATATGTAATATAAAAATTGATTTAACACAAGAGTAATAACTAGGTAATGACATCTAAACTTGATAAAAAAAAAAGTGTGTGATAACATATAATTTCATTTTGTTGCTAATTGATTTATTGTATGTTAGATCTGTTTTTAAATAAAATCCTTAGTTAATACCAGATTTATATATTAATAAAATGTTTAGTTAATACAAAATTTATATATTAATAAAATGTAAGGGCATATATGCAATAGCAGATCTAGTTAGATGCAGGCAAATCAGTGCATTGAGGCCCGAACCTTTTGGATTCTGGTTGGTTGCTAACATTTTGATAAGGAAAAATATAAAATATTTGGATACGTATGTTATATATACATATACAAGATATATAACACACATATTTAACACATAGTTTATATTTTCGTTAAGTTTTAAATATATACAGAGCCTATATATAAAACTTAAAATATAAACTATGTGGAGCCCTATAATAACTTTTGCATAGGGACACGTGATATGACTACAATAATTTAATTTATTTCTTATCCCTTGTCAAATTTGATTACAGATTAAACCATACCGTTAACTTTATATATTAGTTACAACATTTCAAAACATTATATATATATATATATATGTCTATTAATTATAACAACATTGTATTTCATTATTGCAATAGACAATTAACTAATTATATGTATATATAATAAATCAAATTTTATTTTAAATGCAAGTTTACTAGTTAATATATACAAGTTTCATAATTTTAATTATGTAAATAACTTAAATTATGTTAATAATTTAATAATTTAAGATGTGCATAATTACTATTATAATAATAAATTTCTTATGTTTTAATATCTATCNAATTAAGGAAAAAAGAGAAAAATTGCTAAGGTCATGAAATACATTAGGAAAATGCATGAAATTTGGTGAAAAACTGTCAAACTCTACATTAACGGAAGAATGAAATGTATGTGAAACATTTATTTCTTACAAAAAGTGATCTATACAGATCCAGATCTAAGGTAAAGTATGAAAATTAAAAACAGTGTCTAACAGCTCAGTAGGTAGTAAAGACTATTATTCTTCCAAAGCTCTTTCCAGTCATGAAGCTATTGTAGTTGTGGTGGAGGGTTGAGGGCAGCAATGTATCATCCAAGAGCATCACACATGTTCTATGGGATTAAGGTTAGAGTTAGTGTTGGCTAATCCATACATACATTGCCCATCTAAAGATATTGAGCTATCAGACTAGGTTAATGATCATCATTTTATATGATAAATGTATTGCCTATTGCACCTGCATAAAGGGCAAATAATGGAGTCCAGGATTTCATCGCTAGTCATAATTCCTCTTAGAAGCATATAGAGATCTGTGTGCGTGTGTGTCTAATGAGATGCCATCCCAAATCATACTGTTACCTCCACGTAACCTCAGGTTCAAGAAATAACTTAAACAATCTGTTAAAAAGATAACAGAATTTTCTGTTAATGTTCAACTGGAATCTTTCATCATGTGTTCTTTGTACAAATATACAGTATATTTATAAATTAATATCTAATTGTCTCATATCATCATTAAAAATGAATAAACGCAGTATCAATAGTAAAAGATTTCTCTCTTTATTAGATTTCTGTACAGTTTATATACAGAATATTCTATTTTCTTCTGTGAAAACAAAATTATTGCCAAATTGAATAAACTTACATTGGTAGACTTACTAACAGGATGGTATAGATTTCAACTGCTGGACAATATACTATATACAATTTTATTTCTAGCATGCATAGAATTGATAATTTTTAGCACCTCTAATAAAGCATTTAATTAATCACCCAGTTATCTTCATTACCAAAATTATAACATTACTTTAGTTTTTCAATATATACATATTTTTATAAAATTCAATTACATTTTACTAATATATTTATAAACTTCTATATAATCTATAGCAAAGGTAATAAAGATTTTAATTTTGATAACAAATTATAATTTAAAATATACTCTCTCACAAAAAAATTTTATATTAAATTGAACTTTAAGTAATAAATGTAAATAACTAACAAATACATTTTATTCATTTATAAATTGTAAACAATGAATAAATAAATTTAAAACTGGGTGATTTAACAAGACTAATTTTTCTAATTCAAAATATATTCAGAAGAAACTACATTAAAAAGAGTAAATACATTTTATATATTTCAACAATTAAAAAACATATGCTTATATTTGCAACTATAACTAATAAGGATCAACATTAACATATATTTTATACATATTAAACATCACAACAAAGTTTTAAAAATTTATATTTATCACCACAATTAGTTAATTTTATAAGAAATATATTCAATAATAAAATAAAATTTGGTCTTTATGATTAACCACCCAATCATTTAAATAAATTTAGTTCATTCCCAGAATATATTGTACAAAACTGGAATGGATGAACAATTTTATTTTNCTGTATTTTAGTCAATTTAAATGTATTTAGCTTTTTACAGTATCCAGCTTTAAGGCCTATGCATAAAAATATTTTACATGCATGATCAATCAATTAATCAATCCATGTTTAAGTTATTAATATCATTAGTTTATATTTAAAAACAAAAATGACATTACTTTAATGTTAAACTTTTTATATCATTGAAAGTGTATGCTACAAATTAAAACAAGAAATTAATTTTAAAAAATTAAAAATTGCAGTGCTTTCATCCTTCTACAATAGACCCTTCATTAGGCAATCTATAATTTAATAAAAATGAATATCATTTTCTTTTCTTTTTGAAAATTAGAACATGCATAAAAAGCAATTAAATTATTATTAATAAATATCTTAGTTGCTCATTGATTAAGAGCAAGTCTTTTCAATTTTTATTAAAATAGATTCAGTAATAACTCTTGGATGTTTTGAGTGAATATATGATTTTGATATTTATGAGCAATTAATTTTTTAAAATATATTTCAACTGTTTAATTCTATGACTAAATATGATTTCCATAGGAAGAATACTGTGTAGCAGTATAGCAAGAATTTTTAAAACTGAAATATAAATATTTTCTTGCATATAATTTGAACAATGAAAATGACATCATATGCTATACTGATTATTTATTTGATTCTTATCTGAATTATTAATTTCATCTTCATCTTCATCAGAATCATCATCATCGTCATCATCCTCTTCTGCCATGAGTTTTCTTGCAAGCTTCACAGCATAATATTCATTATAATGAAGTTTTCTTTTATATTCAAATACTTTGGATTTAACTATTTTTAAAGAGATTTTAAATCAGTACATTTATATTTTAACAGTAATCAAATACACTGATTTTCATAATTAAGGAAAAAAGAGAAAAATTGCTAAGGTCATGAAATACATTAGGAAAATGCATGAAATTTGGTGAAAAACTGTCAAACTCTACATTAACGGAAGAATGAAATGTATGTGAAACATTTATTTCTTACAAAAAGTGATCTATACAGATCCAGATCTAAGGTAAAGTATGAAAATTAAAAACAGTGTCTAACAGCTCAGTAGGTAGTAAAGACTATTATTCTTCCAAAGCTCTTTCCAGTCATGAAGCTATTGTAGTTGTGGTGGAGGGTTGAGGGCAGCAATGTATCATCCAAGAGCATCACACATGTTCTATGGGATTAAGGTTAGAGTTAGTGTTGGCTAATCCATACATACATTGCCCATCTAAAGATATTGAGCTATCAGACTAGGTTAATGATCATCATTTTATATGATAAATGTATTGCCTATTGCACCTGCATAAAGGGCAAATAATGGAGTCCAGGATTTCATCGCTAGTCATAATTCCTCTTAGAAGCATATAGAGATCTGTGTGCGTGTGTGTCTAATGAGATGCCATCCCAAATCATACTGTTACCTCCACCATAGATCTCCCTTTCATGGATGTTAGAGGGCTGGTAGCATCTCCATTGTTTTCTTCATGTCAAAGCACACTTTGAATCATTCTGCAATACATCTCAATTCAAATGTTCTCTTCTTTTATGGGGATAAGTGGCACACAACTGCTAGTCATAAAGCATACAGATCTCCTCAGTAAAGTTATCTGCACATAGCAGAATCAAATACCAGCATACCTATAGATGCAGCTAAGACAAATAGCTATATAGGGTGGATTTGTTGTTCATTGCTCTGAATGGATAAATAAAGAACAATTATCAACAGTGGTTGTAACTCTAAGTCTTCCTTTTCTGTATCTTTGCAAAGTTAAGTGTTTATTGCATACACAGATTGTGCACGAGAGAAAGACCAACATAGAGCCATTGAGCTATTTCTATCTGACATTAACTTGTCCCTAGTCTTCCAATGGCTCTCTACTGAAATTCATCTGGCAAATGATGTCTTGATGGCATTATTGATAAATCTGCTATCTCAGAAAACATTTTTTACACAATCAAAACACTATTTAGGAAAAATTTCTAAAACAACTCTTTTTATGACTGGACTCATTTGAAATTTATTAGTATCAGTTATTTGCATATGTCCCCATACTTCTCTTATTTCTAATGTACCTACATTTTCAACATGTTAAAAAATAATCATAACTTTTTCCCTTAATTTATGAAAACTAGTGAATGAATAAAATATGTTTATTGAGTTTAATCATTACATCAATATGTAAATATTATTTCAAAAATTAATTTTCTTTTATATTACAATAAATTATTAATATATAAGAAACAAATATTAATTATTTGTCAATAATTTAAATGTAATTTCCAGTAGAAAAATCTGATATGGAAAAAAGGAAAACTGAAAAGTTTTTAAAATATATATTCATTATTATAAGGACTATTTTAAGTTGAAAAATAAATTGTTAATCAGTATTTCAGAATTTTGTATAAGTTCTGAAAACACTGATTATAAAAATTATAGTCTCATCATCAAAAGCTACTGAATATATGAAAAGAATACAGGGGAACCCCATTTATCTGAATCCCATTAATCTATTATATTATTATATTAAATGATTATTATGTTATGATAGACATATGGAAAACCTCTAAGATTTTCCATATGTCTATCATATGCAAAAATCAAAGAACTAAATACATTCTTGCCCAAGTGTAATATTGCAGCTTGCAAGAAAATAAACTTGTTTTCTATGAATCAGCACACAATGTTCATTGTTATGTCTGTGAGAGTGTTCTTTGAGTTTACTTAAACCTGTTCTAAAGTTTTAAGATTTTGAATTATAAAAAATTGCTATTTTCCTGTTGAATAAAAATGTTGTGCTGCTCACAGCAGTGAACATATTAATAAGTTTATCTCATGAGTTTTTATTCACTTGACATCCATAGCTACTGTTGTTTTTCTGAGTTTCAATCACCTTCAATCTATTGTGAAGTAAAGTAAACACTGTGAAAATGACATCTAGAAGGAAGTGGTTGTTATGATGGAGAAGAAATTAGAAATATAAAATAAAATGCATATAGACTGTGTTATTTATGTTGTTAACAAATTTTCCAGATTAGCCAGATTTTTGTCATCCAGATTTAGCCAGTCCCATTTGAGCCAGATAAATGAGACTCCACTGTACAAAAAAATGAATCAAGTTGATATTCCAAGTTCACCAAAACATTAAAACTAACAAATAGAAGCAAGGTTTTACCTTTGTAAAAAAGTCATATTTATATTTTTTGTGTATTTATAAAATTAAAAACTAATGTTAAAAATATTTTATTTGGCCATTTTTATATGATAAATATACAGTGATACCTCAGTTTTCATCGATAATCTGTCCAAAAACAATTGGTGAAATCCAAAACCGATGAAAACCGAGGCAATTATTTCCATATGAACAGGGCTGGATCATCACATAGACAAATGAGACAAATGTCTAGTGCCTGGTTCTTAGAAGGGCCTGGTCAAACAGTCTGTATTGAAAACAGTTGTAAATAAGATAGTTTACTTTTCTGTTGGACAACTGTATATAATAAACAAATAAACAAAAATATATTGCTTTTTATATGGTTATTGTGAATTCTAAAATCTAAAGAAAATGTGTTCTTATGTTTCTTCTTATTGAAAGTAATTCTTCTGATAATTTAGAATTTTTTTTATAGAAATAAGAATAAAATTAACTACAAGACAATGAGCCTGGCATTGCCCGGGCAAAAAGTAACAACAAAGGTTAAGATTATTAGATTATTTCATACTTCTAATCTTTCTAAATTTATTGTTGTATATTAAATATTTTTTATTAATAAAAATTTAAGATTTGTTTTAGTTTTTCACATTAATTAGTTTTGTTTTATTTATTGTTTTATATTTTTTGTGTGCTATATTTCTTGTGGGAGAGGGACCCCCTCCCTCTCCCACAAGAAATGGTAAGAAGGGGCCTGGTAAGAAGAAAATGTCTAGGGTCCCAAAGTGGGTTAATCCAACCCTGTATATGAATCAATATAAATCCAATTAATTCATTCTAGACACTCCAAAATACATACCAAAAAGACATTTTATAGTGAATAAATATAGTATTTAATACTGAAAACAATAAGAAATTAATATAAAATGAATATAAAAGACTAATGTAAAGAATAAATGAACATTTAACATAGCACTTGAAGGGCTGCTGGCTCTGGAAACTTTCATTGGCCCCATGATGAAGCAAAAAGGAAAGGAAAGCAATGGAATTGTTTGGCTTTTTTTTTTTAAACTCTTTCTGCCCTGTGGGCACTAAGAGGGCCTCTTACATCAAGCCCATTATGGGTTCGGCCAGACCCACAATGGGGTGGCCGAACCAATAATGGGCTTGATGTAAGAGGCTCTCTTAGTCCTGACTGGATATGTCGGTCCCCGTCCTTCACCACTTGGCCAGACCCACAATGGGGTGGCCAAGTGGTGAAGGACTGGGACCGACATATCCAGTCAGATCACCTCAAATCTGGACAGTCGGACCTGTCCAGATTTGATCCCAGGTCCTTCAGAGCAGTAGGTTGCCACCTTGACTGGTCAGCCATCCAGCTGTCGTAGAGGAGTTGTTTGGCTAGATGTGGGGGGATGCTCACACATTCATTCATTCATTAGTTTAATTGTACATTTAAAACAAGGTACAAAGTCCTGCTCCGCAGTGAGCATTACAGGAGCATATCCGTTACATAGTTCCACCAAGTTACAGTATGCACTAATGAACAAAGCAAAGTGAAAAAAAAAATAAAAATAAATAAAAACACAATGACAATAAAAGACCCAAACAAAATATGCAGCAGCTTGCTGCAGCAAATAATAGATTACTTATCTGCAGGAATATTTTCGCAAAAGAAGGTCGCAGTAAATATAATAATTCTGACAAAGTGTTTAACAGCATTTATCCCATGCAGAAAATTTGTAAGACAAAGATTTGAGAATCCCATGAGTCCATATATAATATGCGTACAAGTAAAAAAAAACAAAGTCCACACAGCTAGTAATTGTAAGTATCCACTCCAACACTTTAAACCCAAAAACAGAGAAAGATGATGAAGCTTACATATTTCTTACAGTCAGCAAACACAAATATATATAGAGAAGGTATGATCTGCTTGTATTAGTTGTTGTGCTAAGAAGAAGAGGTAGCACTATGAATTAAACAATTTGTGCCCTGTAAAGGATTCCATAATTATTAAGGTAAGTAGTCAGCTGTCTTAATATATAAGGCTTTTGCTTTAATGTAGAGTGGACACTCCTTATCCAGTGTGTTATGTTCATGTTTATCTAGGCCAGTCCTCAAACAATTAGCACATTTAGGCTTTTCACTTTTTTTGTACATGTCTTAAACAAATGATCATCACCACAATGGCTACAAACTTTCTTCGGTGATGGGCAACTTGCCGCCAAATGTCAAAAGCAAGACATTTGTAGCACTGTCGTACAGGAAAAAAATCATAAACATTACACATTTTCCACTGAACATAAAGATATCCTTGTTTTTTAGTCATTGCCCTAACCTCCAGTGACATCTCTAACACCCATGATAAAAACTCGTCATTTCTCTGTTTGATTGAAAATCGAATATTTAAAATCTTTTTAAACTCCTCCATCGTGTACTTCTGTGAAAAAATGTTCTGTTCAAGCAAGTATTCTAGTAGGTTCTCTTTGGTAACTGAGTTGGGGTCTGAAGTCACTTTCATAAGAGGAAGACGCCATCTTGTGTTTCGTGCCTTTAATCCTTCTATTTTGTCTAATTGTTCCTGAAAGTATTCGGCCTCCTCTCTGATAGGAAAATCAACAGCAATTCACCCTTGTTAATCTTACGAATACGCTTGACAGGCACCTTATGCAATCTCTGATCAAAAGAATTAGTGAGCAGTGTCTTAGTCTCTTCCGACGTGCTCTCTTTATTATCATTGTAAACTAGAACAGTGTATGTTGGTAACGAGGATTCCTTTTCAGACTGTGTATTCTTCAAAGAATTAAGATCGCGTTGTAAAATATCTCTATATGTCAGAGCAGTAATCCCTTGAGAACCTTCCACCCCTAAAAGTGGAGGTTTTTCTAAGTCACAAATAGTCTGTTTCACTTCCTGAATAGCCTCTAAATTTTTGTCACTCTGAGCAACAAGCAGCTGTTTGACATCCTCTTTCATTGCCAACAAATCAAATTTCTGAAGCAGGAAATCTGATATGGTATTTTTCCTTAATTAATATGCATCAATGTCCTTAATTACCTGTACAGGTAATTGTAAATAAAACAATTTTAATCTGTGTGACTGAGTTGCTGTAATCTTATACACCAGTATAATAAGTCCTATTAATAGAAATACACTGTTATGGTGATTAAAAGAATAACTGGTATTTTTCCTAATTACCTCTTCGGCACTCTTCACTAAGGTAATAAATTTATCTGTAATAAATCTAATATGTTCCTCAGTATCCAATCGCCCTTTTGGTTATTACGGAAATATCTCTTTAAATCCTAAATGGCTTCCTTAGATTCCTCCAGAAATTCTTCAATAGCCATCACTGAGTATAATAACTTTTAAAATTAATAATTTCCAAAAAATTAATATGAAAAAAAACATACGACTTCCGGTAAAAATTCTGGAATCTTCTATGCTCACACAATGAGAAACAATGCCACACTGAGCAGGAAAATGCATGGGTTGCCCTTTGTTTTCACATAATTAGCAGTGAGGTTGCATGGGCACGCCAATGAAATCCAAGGCAAATTTTTCGCACTGAAACTGATAATTGAAGTCAACGAAAACCGAGATATTACTGTAGTATGATCTTGTTTTATTGGGGATTGCATAAAACAAAATTCCATTTAAATTTGTGCTTCACCCCAAATAGTTCCAGATGACTATTATTTCCTAGTTCAGTTGCTAATGGTTGCATAAGTGTCTACATGGTTGCATAAGTGTAGACACTTATTGTCCCATTGTGGCATCTACTATTTCTAAAAGTAAAACTGAAACTAAAGCTCAAATATCTGTTAGCATCAGAAAGTTTTAGTTGCAGTTTTACTTTTACTTTTGCACAACTCATACTGTGCTGACACTACTTTTTTCTTCCTGTTTTCTTTCATGTCTGCATTAGAACTTTATATTTTATTTTTATTTTGATAATATTTTCATCAAGGTAGGCTGTAGATAATTTCATGTAATTTTTACACTATTACTTTTATTTCACAACATATTTCGTAATAAAAATAGTCAGTGAATGCATTAATAGTCAGAATTACTCCATAAAATATATTTAAGAGTTAACCTAACCACTTTCCATCTAAAAACATACAAATCAACACATATCAATTTCATATAAAACAAGACCTTAATGTGTCTACAAAGGATTCTTTGTAGACACAATTAGAAATCATTAACCTGCTTTGCTTTTACCATATAATGTCTTTAATGGTAAGACTTTGACAGTTTAGTAAAACATATAAGCACTTATTTATTATGATATTGTCACAATGCTGGGCTGCAAGTTTATGGACATCAATGCACAGTGCTATTAATTTTAGTAGTCTTGCTCTGTACATCATACTTTTTTCTGTTAACAAGAGAGTCATGCTAGTTATCTAACTAACTATTCTGGAGAAAATTTTTGAAATAATGCAACTTCTGACCCAAACTGGAAGTTCTTAAAAAGTTAATCATGGTTTCTGGTTCCTAAGCCTTTCATCTATCTCACTCCATTCTCAAGATTAAGGGAGGACAGACAAACAGACACCAGTGGAAATTTATAGGTTTGCAATTTTAAAATTAAAGCCCAATAAAAACATCTATTTATACTGTTACATGAGTCAGGAAAACTATATAAATGTGAAGTTTGTTCTACTGTTAATTTCTTTCATCAAATGATTGCCTAAATTATTGGGCTATAACTCCACTAATTTGCTTGAATTTAATTAAAGCTCAACAGAGTTATAATTTGCTGTAAACAATAAAATTTGTTAATAAAACATGCTGCTTCTGAACATCATTTAAAGATAGAAACAACAACATTATATTAATTAAAAAAAAAAACAAAAATAAACCTACTGACTTACATTTGAATCTATTACATCAAAAATGTTTTCAAAATATGTAAATTATAGTTTGAAAATTGATCATTAATTATTTGTTAAATTTAAAAATACACAAAAATTTAAACTTAAGATATAGACTATATATCAAAACTTTAAATTTAATTTGTTTAATTTAGAAGTTATTAGAATACAGCTGATGTTGATTTGGGATGTTCGAGAATAATTCTAATATACTAAAACTATATGGCTGTTTAAGTCTGTTATTTTCTGAATATTAGGTTTATGAATAAAAGAATATGAAAATTCTTAAAAACTTTAAAATCTTAAAATATTCAATCTTTTAAATATTGTTTCAATACATTACAATTCAATACAATATACACAAATAACTATAAATAATTAAGCAAACACACACAATTAAATCTTACTACCATTACAAAAAATATTTAAAATTATACTTATTTTTACTTACTAAAAAATTTCATTAGTTTATACTAAAAAATCTTTTTCACAATTTTTATGTCATTTGCTGTATGTATTAATAAAAATAATACACAAAAGTAACAAAAATCTGTAAACAAATTAAAAAATTATTTTTAAATTAATATATCATCCACTTCAATAGTAGCTTCTAAAGATGAAATCTTTGAATTTTGAAAATTTAAAATATATTAAAAATTTAGCTTTGGTTCTTAAAAATAAGACTATTTTATTGATGCTTTATAAAATTCATGAAATAATTTCAATTATTAAAAATTTATAATAAACAGTTTTCCTTTTGAATGTTTTATGCTAGTTATAAAATTAAAACCTTATTAACATTTATGTAAGACTGAAGTTTACCAAGTAGAGTTATGTTATGATAACAGTGAATAAAATATCTAATTTTTTTTTTAATTTCCATAAAATATTTTACTAAAATACTAAATATACAATTTTATCAACTGTAACACATTACTTTAAATATTAACTGAGATATTTTCATTTATTGCTACTGTTATAGCTTCTGTAATATGAACTTTTTTAAAAAACTTATGAACTATATAAACTTTACTTGATATTAAACATTATTTAATACTTTCATGATTAAAATGAACATCTAGAAATAAAAAATTAATTAGATTAGATTAACACATATATGAATAATAATAATTTATACATTTTGTATCAGAAAATCACAATATTGTCATAATTTATTGCAAAAAATTTTTATTAATTTAGAATAATCATATTTTATTTTTCTTTCATAAATATTTCTTTTATCCTCAATTATGAAAGCTTTTTTCCTCTTGATCAATAAATTGAAGTATTTAAATTTTACACATTGCATCTAATATTTAATTAATAAATGTCTTTTAAAGATTATTTTGAAATTTAATATAGGAGTAAGTTATTTTTTATTTTGAGAAAGTAAATAATATTATCCAAATTTATATATTTGGATATTTAGTAATAGTAAATAAAATATATCACAAATCTGAAGTATGACTTAACATATTATTTAATATGTTACAAAGATTTATTGAATTATTTTTTAAAAATCATCATGACTAAGTATCAAAAATATTTTATTTTTTAATTAAGATCTTCTCAATTCCAAATAATTATGTCATATTGCATTATACTAAACTAACTGCTTATATAATTAAAATATTAATTTCAAACTAGCTACTTTTCTTGGTATGTTTTAGAATTAAATATCCAACAAATGGTAAAAATGAAATCATATTTAAGTTAATGGACAAGTTTGTCCATTAACTTAAATATGACTTCATTTTTACCATTTAAAATAATCATATCAGTTTATGAAAATTAAAATTAAGTGCTAACAAAACAAACATTGTTATGAATCAAATGAATCAAAAATCATTACACATAAAACACACTGAAAATTTTGAAATAAATAATAAATTTTCGTTACTTTAAATTTATCACAATTACAAAATTACTTTAGATGATATTCATAATCTTTTTAAAAATAAAGATGCATATAGATTAATAAAAGTATTTAATTGAAGCATCTTGTACAAAACATTTTTCTTTATTTCTTCATATGTTAGCATACAGATAGAAAGATTTTTAACAAATTTTATAAATTCAAAAGTTACTTAAACAGAATTCATATATGTGAAATCTGTACATTTACTTGTAAAATATAGATAACTAAACCAATTTATTTTTAAAAAGACCAAAAAAATAAAATGTTGTTAAAATATTTATTAAAATATTTGTTATACTTATTTTCTCAAAGTTTTTACCTCTATCTCCCAAACTCTCCTCAACTTCATCATTATTTTTATCATCTGGACATTTTCTTGGTGACTCTTTAGATAAATTTATCCTAAANTATAGTGCCGTCATTGGAAGCGATGAAAGCGCCGCTTCCCTTGTATTTTCTAAAATATAAATACACATTGCGCGATTATTTTCATATTTTAAAGTACTTTGAATGAATTAAAATTAATATTTTATTATAACCGCATTACGCATCTTATTACAAATTTCTATACTACACGTGAAAAAAACGATAAGATTGCTATTGTATATTCGAATATCAGTGGCGGGATGGAAGCGCTTTATTGTCGAATACGGAACAGCTTCCACGGCGAAAATATCTGAATCGTATCTGGGCACTTAGTCTCGAATTCTTCGTGTTGTACTCAAACTGACGTCATTCAACTCACTCGTATGACTCACATAATTGGTAGTCTCGAGTTAGACCCATCGAGCAAACTCGAAAAGTGAGAGGAAATACGTCATACTCACTTGGTTACATATGTCGTTAAGCATGATGGGATTATTTACATCTGGGTTTGCGACTATAATGATTCGACCAATCAACTTTACTGTAATAAGTTGTAAACTAGGGTTTCTCAAATGGGATTCCGATTGTTTTTTTAACACTGAAAATTCTTCTCATCCCAGGAAATCCCTCAAATTTCTTTAAAATTCACTTTTTCCTTATTTTGTGTTAAGGTCGAGGAAATTTTGCAAATAGAAAGTGTAATTAACTCATAAACTGTCAGAATACATTTGTATTTATCAATTTTAAGCCTACTTATTAGATTTTTTAAAAAAATTTTGCTCGTTATGGCATGTCACAAATGATCAATAATCAATACGTAGCTTATTTGTGGCAGGACTCTCAAAATTCTTTACCTGTAATATCTGGAATAATTGTGCTTATGATGTCTTAATTTTTAACCATGCCCGGTAGCTTCAATAATTGCGTAATGCCAATTTGTGCAAATTGGGCAAGGTAACGAGTACGAAGTCTTCAACTATGAAGTTTTTCTTCATAACCTGATTATTAAAGACAAACGAACTGCCGAATTATTGGGTTATGATGTTTCTATTAAAGCAGTCGAGGTAGACAAATCAAGAATACTAGAGAGCAAGAGAATTTCTACAATCTCGAAAACGAACTAGAAATCTTTCAGGATACAGGTGAAAAACGCATAATATTTGTCTTCTCTTAAATGCGTTAAACACGATTACACCCACATCAATTGAATCGGAGAAGGCATTCCCGGTAGCAGGACTTTTCATTACCAAAATAAGAATTAGATTGAGTGATTGATTGACCATCTTTGCNATAAGAAGACAATTTTGTAGCTTCAGTAAATTTTATTTATATATTTTAATGTAAATACCCTCAGCCATGATTTGATTTTAATATACAGTACATAAGGTTTATAAGCAATGGCTTTGCTTTCCAAGAGGAATAAATTGTAACTTTTCTGAATGGGAAATTCTAACATTTGAATTAAAACTTAACTGCAATTTGAATGCATATACTGACATATCACAAATATTAACTAACTTGTATATGATTGGGTTTTTTAATTTTCAAAGTAAACAAGATGTTTGCACACATTCTAAGGTGGTGTTGCTACTAATATTACTAAACTAATAATTCTGTAGTGTGTGTGAATCTGTAACAAGATGTAATCATGCATTTTTTCTAATTATAATAAGTCAAAATGTTCTTGGCATTAAAAATTGCTGTTGAAATTTCCTAACTTTATGAATAATTCAATATTAAAAGTAAAACTATTAATATTTTTGTCTTTCATTTCATTTCATCCTATATAATTTTGTGTGCCAAACTTATAGTGAATTGTTTCCTATCATTTTCCAAATTATTTCATATTCTATTTACCTAAANAAGAAAAATAATTATATCATTTGATTTCGTGATATTTTGTATATCTTAAAAATAATTAATCCCGGGAAACACTTTACTTTTATCCCGGAATTCCGGGACAAGCAAAAGACCTGTAAATGAGAAACTCTATTGTAAACAAATCAAGGTGAATTAGTTTACACGTGTTACAGATAAAAGTTTTGTCTTATAGCAATATAGTATGCAGAAACAAAATGAAAACCTCCAATGTTTTATTTTAAAAAATAAGCGAAAAGAACAAAAATACAAAAGAAATATTAGTAACATATATAGAAAATAATAAGAAAATGAACAGTGTAAAATTCAACAACGAATTTACAAGAAAAAGACAATTCGATTTGTGGAGAGAATTAGTTGAAAAAATAATTGCGTTTATTGGAGCTAAAATATCCATTGTGTAATGGAAAAAGTATTTAATTTAATAATTTAAATCCTTTCTTAATATAGTTTTCTTCCTTGATCTATTTCTTAAATTCTTTTGTCTATTAAGATTATTTATTAATCAGAACTTAACACTTCTGATTAATAAGTAATCTTAATATAATGTCTATTCTCTTAATAATTTATACATAAATTTACTGTCATTTTAATTCTCTTTTTCCATGAATTAGATACTTCTTTTTAGTTTTGGAAAAATTTGATGTATAATTTTATCAATTATGAATTAAAATTTTTTTTATCAGTGTTGACTTGACATGAAAAGAAATGGCATCTACTCGTGGTCGAAAAACAATTTTCTTCGAACGATATTCGAAATTACTATAAGTGTTTGGGGGCGGAAAAATCGGCAACTCTGATTTCTGTATATGTAATCAGTCAGTGAATTTTTTTACACTACCGTCACTCCTGATATAAGACACTAGATTATTGGATCAAATTTAATCTATTATCATTAAATACAAAACGTCCTCAATATATGTCATACTTAGGTCCTAAAAATGCGTCGTAAACAAAATGGTGTACTGTACATCGAATAGCAATTTCTCACCGAAATAATATATTATGTAGGAGATATGGTACATTGCAGACCAACTAAAAACAATATACAGTATGTGCAAGTGTCTAGTATACAATAAGAAACTGTTTATATGCAAGGGTCGCTACTTGTTATACTTTCAACACCTAGTATAAGAAGGTGACAGCCGGATGTTTGAGCGGTTAGGACTTCAGTCTACCTCTATGAGATCGAAGACCCCAGGGCGGATTTGTACCTGATGTGTCAAGACAGTCCAGCAGCCCAAATTGTGGATCTTCAGAAATCAATCATGGGTAAGATTAATTAAAACGGTCCTCTCTTCGTGCCATCCATAAACAAAACAAAAGAAAAAATTACCAGCTGCCATATTGCAAGTGTGATGAAATATACGATGAGCACCAAGATCTTTAATTAATGATCTTATGTAAGAGTTAGCAATACTGAAATACGAGTGCAGATAATTTTTTACTATGGTAAATTTCCAGAGATTTAACAGAAAAATTCATCACAAAACGATTATTGATGCGAACGTATGAAATTCCATTTAATCCATGCAAGGTGTGATTACCAGAGCCCCTTCGGCCGCCAATTTAAAGTCTTTTAAATAAAGAAAACATCTATAAACGAGCTGCGTAACTCTTTCGGCTTGTATGAAATTTTATTTTAAAGAGAACGTTTGTATTATCAATAAAAACAAATGAATGAAATTATATATGGTGCCATTTGTTATAACGTTTTGTTATATAAATTTTATATATTTCTAATTATTATAAATAGCAAAAGACTTAATTTCGAAGAGATGTCAATGTTATTACACAAAGTAAATGCTATCCACAAGTAAAATCTATATAAAGTTTGACGCCTTGCGAGATATATCATGTGACCATTTTTTATCTTGGTCTAATACATTTTTGAATACCGAAATTGTATATGCTCCTTATATAGAAGTTTCCTTTCAAAATTTCCTACATTTATCTTTGATTCGTTTTGAGATATAAATTAAAATATTTTTTTAAAATTAAATAATTACTTTTCAATAACGATAATCTATATAGGCCTATATATATATAGATAGATTGATCTCTCTGTTTGTATATCTGTAATCTGTAACGGAATGCCTATAACGCCCATAGGAGCGACCCATTCTAAGCCTAAGTAAATCCATAATGTACTTTTAAAAAAAGCCTCACTTTTGTTTCCACATGATAGAAAGAGTTTTTAAAAAAATAATAATCGTTAAAACAAAAATAAGTCAATAAATATGCATCGAATTACAAAAAAATCAGTTAATTTTACTACATCCGTTTCATTGTCACGCGGAAACGCAACAATATCGGCAACAATATATTTTTCCATTGTTTCAGTTTATTTGTTTTAAGTGAGCGATTTTCAAATGCGAAAAAGAAACTTTCGCGATTTTCTTGCTTCATTCCTTGAAAATAATTGCTTCGGATATAAATGTGAGTAATATTATGATAGATTACACAGTATACTGTACAAATATTTCGATAAAAATAGAATTACCGACCTAGAAACTTATCATTGGGTAACCAAATGGTCCTTCAACTTAAGTGAGAGAACAGAACTAGAAAAAAAAATTTATTTGAAGATAAATTTTAATATTTTAAACTGACTTGGAATATTTGAAATTATTTTAAAATATGGACATTTATTTTGCTTCATATTAATTTGGTTTGTTATTTTTCCTATTTATTATTATGGGGACTTTGCTTCATTCAGAATTTTTTGTAGCTGTAGTCTGTGTAATGTGCACTTTACTTTCATGTTGAGTCTTACTGTAAATCGGCATTAACTATTCTTATGCCACAACTTTCAGTAGTTTTTTTTTCTTTTACTTGTTTTTGCTTAGCTTTACTTTTTCAACTTGGTTTCAGCAATAAATATGTTTGGGAACGATCGATTATCCAATTGCGTAAGATAATAGACCGTGTAACAAAGCTTTAATGACACCGCTGCTGCTAGAACGCCCACTAGGAAGCGTCCCGAACGACTAGTACTGTTTATATCTTGTCTTTTACAACAAGTAACAATTATGTGCGAACCTCACATGTACTGTGCTCCCATTGGTTTAAAATGGACTGCGCCGTTTTATGATTTATTGGGGGGGGTGATAGGAATGATTCAAGAGGGATTATGTTAAGCACTAAGCTTAAAAATCGTAATCACAGCTNTTTTTTTTACTCTTTCTGCCCTGTGGGCACTAAGAGGGTCTTTTTAATTAAGCCCATTACAGGTTCAGTCAGACACACAATGGAGCTTCCAGGTGATGAGGAACAGGGCCCAATGCATCTGGGACCGATCACTCCCTGAAAAATTCCTGGATTTTTCAATTTGTCAAGATTTATTCATGACATTAATGGAAAAGAAGTTAAGATGTCAGTCTACTTTTCAGATGGCTGAGTGATAAGCAGACACTTTAACCATTCTGCCATCTGGCTGTTCCTTAATTATTTTGTAATTTCTCTTTGCAAAATATATATTTATGGATTTTGAATCTTAAAATCAATGTTTCAGCTTGTCATACTATATAATTAGATAATTTAGAAAGATTGTAAAATTGCTAAATAACTTTTTAAGAAGATTTTTATATAGTTAGTTAGTAATCTTCAACTAACATAAAAATTAATAAAATTAATTACAGAAAATATATACAACAAAGTCAAAAGAAATTTAAAAATTTTTTATCTTTAGCAGACAATAATTGAAGTATTTAGTTATTATTATATTTATTATTTATATGAAAAAGTATACTTAATAATCCCTGAACTTCATTTCTGATAATGCCAATGTAAAATAAATGATATGAAAAGTGTATTAAACTTTAGAATAAAAGCTATTGTCATCAACATTTTGCAAATTTTGTTGTATATTTATTACATTCTCCTTCAAATCTGCAATAATCTTGCAAAATGTTCTACTTATCAATATTGAGAAACAACAAATTAACAATATTCTACCAATACCTTTAGGAGCTGTTATTTTATTTTGTCATTATAGCAAAATAACTATTGTAATTTATTTTTAACTTGAAATCTCTGAACTTAATACTTTCAACTTGCTTAATACTTTTCAACAAATAAAACTTTCTAGCTAATATTATAAAAATTGTTTCTAATTATTGCTTAATTCACTTAATTCTGAAAAAATTTATTCATCACTTACTTTCTTGCTAACAATTCAGGATCAAGTGTTTCAGCTTCCTGATCTGAAAGATCAACACTATCATCATAATAACTAAATGGTGTTTTAGGTTCATCTACTTTCATGTATCCATAATCTTTATCCAAAGGATGCAATGTTTGTAAAATATTCATTTCATCCCATTTAATTGGCTTATTAATAGCACTATTAAAAAATAAAAAAATTCATGAAATAAGAATTTTAAAAATTAGTATATATTAAATAAAAAGTGAAACTATTTCTTTATTTAGCTTTTCAATAAAATTAAGTTTCAATTAGAGTCTTAAAATATTAGTATTCTGTTCTTTAAAATTTAAAATAACATTTACTTAAATTTTTCATTAGATGATAATGTATGATTACATTAAAGTACATCAATTCAATATAGCCATCTTACAATTCTTCATCATTATTGTCAATTTAAAATAAGGTTGGTGTAATTGATCTGATCAATTTGCATTGAAAGTAATCTAATAGTAGAGTATTTTCATATATTTCTTTATGAAACAGAACAATTTACTTGTAAATTAATTACTAAAATCATCACTAAACACTTTTGCATCCTCAAATGATTAACTAAACACCTTTGGCTGCTAAGACTGGCTGCTCACCTGAGGATGCATTATGCTGAAAACATTAGTGTACTGTATAAGCAAATAAATGTATCTCGGCAGCCAAAGGTGTTTGGTAATGATTTTAGTAATTATTCTTTCTGCTGAGTGTGAGTTCAGTTTGTAAATTAAATTTCCAAACAATAAAACAGAACATAAAATATTAAATGCAATGTCAAGACATAGTATTTGATATTGTATATTCTGTTCTTTCAATGTTATCTTCATAGCCATTATTGTGAAATTAATATTTTAATACAGAACATAATGTAATATTTTTTTTAAAAATAGCTCTGAAAGGTACAATTGTTAGGTACTTCTACATGAAACTGGATACATATAAACAATAAATTAAACACCTTTAAAAGCTTAAAATTTCAGTAAATAGCTTTAATAAACAAACATTTTCAATCTAATATTAAGATCAAAACATTTGTCTATTAAAGTTATTTACTGAAATTTTAAGCTTTTAAAGGTGTTTAATTTATTGTACAACTGTTATTTGAAAAATAAGTTTTTAAGTTTATTATTGTTTATATTAATTGTAAGAAAGATATAAAAAATAAATATAATCTTAGCACTTTTCACATTACTAAATTGTTTCAAATAATGCAGCAAAGATAACCTATGGAGAGATCAATCTATTATTTTCAATTGTTTATATTTAAATGTAACTATAATATTGATCTATAACTTGTTACATTAAACTAAAAAAAATATTAACAGAAAAAATCCTCAAAATAAAAACAAATAATAATTTGATTCATGTATATTTAACTGGAATAAAAAAAATTTTTTTAATTAAAGTAAGATTTTTACCAATAGTGAGCAAATAAAACAATACTAATACTTTTCAATCACCTTTAATATGCTATTTTAAAGCTATATTTCATACTAAATATAGGTTTAAAATAAATCTTAAAGTGATCTTACTCTTTCACTTAACTTATCCAAACCTCTAAAACTGAACAGATTTATTATGTGTTAATATGCATAATTAACAAGCTTAGTTAACTGATTGTTCCTTAATTATTACTGTCTGTGTCACTTCAAATCTCAAATTGTATTTTTCAGATGTTATAATAAAAAATTTATTTCAAATACTTTTATTGTTTTTTAATATAAACTTCTTCAGGAATTAGATTATATTCCCGAATAAGCTGATAATAAAACTACCAATGGAAAGTACAACTGTACAAGTACAATGGAAAGTATTTGAAATGAATTTGTTAATTTACATAGCCTCATTCATTTTCATATTTATTTCATTCAAATAAATAACACCAACAAAACCTTCAAAAATATACCAGCAAATATACTTTAATATAAATATGCTATGACAAAAGCTTTCAATCCTAATAGGATCTGCTTCAGGTCAAAATGTTCATTAGAATGGATGGTGGAACATAAATACAATATACAGAACAAAAAGCTGACCACCACCCTAGCGATATTATATGCTTCTGAAACTGGTGTAGAAGCTAAACTATAGCAGGCCCGTCTCATTAGATGCTGCTTTCACACCGATCAGATCAAAATTTGAAAAGCCAAACTAAAGGGGGAATGTATCAACTTTAAGGAGGAGGTGAACATCTCACATGCTTAGCGATCCTTTTTTTGACAATCTCAACAATATTAATAAGAAATTAAAAATCGATTACTTTCATTAAAATTTGTAACAAATATATTCGTTAAATTTTTATGTTAATTTTTATTTTAATTTTTAGTATTAATGTAAACAAATAGATGTGATTTTTATACTTGTTCTAATATTTAATCCTTCCAGCGATTTTAAAAATTTTTAATTGCTCTTTTAGCATTCTAATTCTATTGAACATTTTGACCCAAAGCAGATCCTATTAGGATCAAAAGCATATTTATATTAAAGTATATTTGCTGGTATATTTTTGAAATTTTTTTGTTGGTGTTATTTACTAATATATAACCAACTGTGGGAAGATTTAAAATATTTGATTGGAACGATGAAAATTCCGCTAGCTGCAATAAAAAATATATATATATATTATTACTCAGATAAAAAAGATTTCATTCAAATAAGCAAATTGATTAGAATAAAAATGAATACTTCATTAATGAAGAAATGTCACAAGATATTTGTCAGATGATAGCTAAAAAAAATCAATAAATATATTTAGTTTCATTTCATTTAATTATTTTCATATAGTTACATTAAAAAATTAAATGTATTACCCATAAATACTGTGAAATTGAATTGTTTTTGTATATATAATTAATTTATATTAATTCATATTTTACATTTATATTTATATATGAATAAAAAATTTTTTAATAAAAAAAGTATAAATTTAATACTGACTTCTTCGAAGCTTCAGTTTGATCAAAACTAGACGAAGTTTTCAAAATACTCTTTCTTGGTTTCTTTTCTGCCATTATAGTAACTTCGAAAACCATTAATAGTTTTCATCGGCCATTTCTTTGATATTCTAAAGTGGCGCCATCTGTTGTGCAGAATTTATATATTAGTAATTATAACGGAAGTTGCGTTTTTTTCCGTTATTCGTCATTTTCTGGGTTACGCGGAGATATTTTATGCAAAAACTTTAATGTTTTTCTTTAAAAATTTTTAAGAACACACAATGTAAGTATAGGAATTTTCGCTCCCCTTTGTTTTATTTGCAATGTTGTAAACTGCGTACGATCCACTTTTTAATATTTTAAATATCAATAGATTTATAATTGTGCTTAAAAAATGCTGTAATACTCTTAAATCTTGCTTACGTATTAAATATACATTTTGAAAAAATAATACGTAATACTGCGCTGAATCCAGTTGTGTTTGGATAACCGTTATACATAGTACAGAAGCTATGTGAAAAAACAAACATAAAATATAGAATAATATTTTCTTATTTGGAATTTCTTTACGAGATACACAATAGTCACAAATAAGAAAATGTTACTATGTATGTTATGTGTATGTTTCAATATGGTTTCTGTTTATATACTGAGTAATCATAAAGTACCGCTTTTCAACATAGTCTAGAACAACGGTGGGNTTTAATCTTTAAAATTGGCGTTTCCACTTCCCGGGACGAGGACCCAGGGGTTTGATTTGTGGGAAGCGAGTGTTCGGGTTGTTTTTCATTGTGTTGAATTACACAGAACGAGGCGCTTGACGTATAAGTGCGTAAGTGCGAGAATTCGAGTAAAAGTTAAACTGTGTATATCTTCGTGAACAGTGATGTTGTGTCCGTGTGCATATGTGTGTGTGTGATCAATGAACATTTTTCGTCGTGTCTAAAAACAGAAAAACAGTAAATTACGATACGAGAATAAGACATGTTAAAAAATGAAACGAAAGAGATTATACCATCGGGGATTTCGGAAAATATTCACTTGTACGATAAATGGCCACTTCGTCCTCTTCGTGGTAAAGTTCTCATAACACTGTTCGGGAAGAAAGACTGTCTGAGAAAGGTAATAATGTTGATCTTAGATAATAAATAAATGAATTTCTCGTTTTCTCACTGTCTTTGTTTTCTGCAAGAACATTTGGGAGAAGAATCTTCCTCACAAATGTTCTTGCAGAAAACAAAGACAGTGAGAAAACGAGAAATTCATTTATTTATTATCTAAGATCAACATTATTACCTTTATCAGACAGTCTTTCTTCCCGAACAGTGTTATGAGAAGAGGACTTAACCTAGTCTATCCTAACCAGATCAATCCTCATAACAGCTGTTTGGGAAGAAAGGTCGGCCGAATGTCGCATCCGGGTGGTCACAATCGGAAGTCAAATCCGTTGTCGTCAACCGAGTGTCACGTTCGGGAGACAAGTCCGTGGGTCACGTCCGAGAAAAGGTGTCGAGTCCGAGTCAAAAGTGTCCCGGTAAGAATGTCGCATCCGGATGAAGGGGAAAATCGAAGAGGATCACAGCCTAGGCCAAGGGAACCGCAGCCGTCCGCAGAAACTAAACCACAGATATCACGGTCCCGAGACTCGGGCGGCTCTCCTCCTATTCCTCCCCGTTCCGACTTCCGCAAGGCAGTGGCGTCGCCGTCACGGACGAACAGGCAGAACACGACCGAACAGAAAGTATCAACTCGGACGAGCCGTCACTTTCTACATCCTGCACAGCAAGGTCTGTGGCCGAATGCCCCCGAAGACCTTGGCCAAGTGCGTCGGACCCAGAGTGTAGCATCGCATAATTCCGATTCCGGGAGGATGCCATGCCACGCGCACTTAGGGAAGGTCTTCTTCACCAGCTACCTCTCGCTCGTCAAGCCCCCGCTCTTCCAACGACTCTTCGGGCGCGGTACGAGTCCCACTGACTCGTTCCACGCCGTCCGAGGAACCCACTCCCTCCTGCGCCACCGCCTTCCTCCGCCGGAACCGCCTCCAGAACCACACCAACCTCTTCATTCTGTAAAAAAGAAAATTTGCAATTCGTCGAGTGAAAACAAAAGCTTAAGTTAATAAACAAAAAAGCATAAAGAGCTTTAAAATGCTCACCGCAACTGCCTTTCTAAATCTAAAACATTCGAGTCAAAAACGAAATCGGCCGAGATGTCTTCTGGCAACGGTTCTTCTGGCAATCTATATAAATAAAAATGTAATGTCCGTTTGTTCCTAATAGCTAATCTTTGAAAGTTCTTCACCAATTGCTTTGAAATTTTCACACAACATTTCATTCGAATACGGGCGTGTTTTTATATAATATACTAGCTGTTACCCGCGACTTCGTCCGCGGAGGTTTTGCAAGCAAACCCCATTTACATTCAATATTTCAATAACTATAGTAATTGTTATATAACACCTACCGCTGAAGAGAATTCTTATATAACACCTACCGCCGAGAATCAAACGAACTATTTTCAATTTGATCAATTTTCTGGACCGTTTACAATCGTTCTATAATCGAACCAATATGCAATAACAAATTCGAATTTAAAACGGTTCGAACATTTTTAAAATCGAAATAGATAAAAATATTTATAACAATGTCTGAAATGTTATCAATTTAATACACCTAAGTACTCAATGAAGACTAAACGTAATTAAAAACAAAAAAAAATCGCATCTAAAATAGTACAGTAGAAGCCGTTCTTCCGGTTAAGCCTTAATCCTCTCCCTCTTTCCCCCGCGGGAAATTTCGAAAAATCCCTTCTTAGTGTGCGTTTTCATGACGTACCCTAACTGTCTACCAAATTTCACCTCTTTAGGTTCAGCCGTTTGCTCTGGGCGATGATGAATCACCCAGTCAGTCAGTCAGTCAGTCAGGACAAGTAATTTTATATATTTAGATAAATTAATTTATAATTTTCCTTCAATCATTTTCTTATGTTCGGAATTTGATAAATAAATAAATTGTCTTCTGCACTTACATTGTGTAAAATGTCCACCGTGGAGAGGTAAAAGATGATCTTCTTAAATTCCACATCTCGATGTCCGAAAATCGTTTGAATAAATATTTTTTTCGGCCATCAAATTCTTGAGATTTCGATTTATTTCGCTCAATATTATTTGGCTTTTTAGAGAGATTCATCGGTGGTTGCACGTATTGCGTATTAATGCAACATCAAACTGGATAAAGTTAATATTAAAATTACCGAAAAATCTTTATAATAGGGCGTTCCGAAAACCAACACAGAGCCGGGAAGAAGTCACCGTTGAATTTCTGGCTTTTTAAAGGATCTCTCCCCTAAATTCTTAATTTGATGGGTTAATCAATTTGACAGTTCCGTTCGACTTGGTCCGAGAGTGTTGATCCAACTTTGAAACTTTCGCTCGTATCTCACGCCTTGATATTTTCTTTTCTGACGGCTACGGAATTTTCTTATGTCTTCATTACTTACAATGTGACAATTTTGCTTTCGAAGGAATGCTACATTTATTTCCAAATTTTCTCATGTCAGAGTCAGAGCTGGATTTTTCTGATTGACATTCTGAACTTTCCTATCCGTAACCTGACGAGACTGCAATTTGAAAAAATTGTAGACCTATAAATTCTCACTGTCTTAATCTCGAGAACGAAGTTAGATGAAATCCGAGACCAGATATGGAAACTTTAGGGACAGGAGGCCCCAATTAACTATATATGAACTTTCGATGCAAACCGGAAGTCAAGTTATTTTAATTCAAAACCCTCCTGCCCAAAAGCAGTTAATAGATGCTAACGGAAAAACATACTGATACATAGTACAGAATGAATCTGATAAAAATAAATCTTAAATAATTCGCAGTCGAACCATATGAATAAAGTTTGTTGTGTTAAGAGTAATTGACTTAAAAGGTAAAATTAATACAGCTCGAACCTTTAACGGGCACGTGTAAATACGTAAAATACTTAACTTTATCCGTTAAAATATAGCTCGAAGATTTCCTCTTCTAACACAGAATAGTTTCCAAATGACGATACACACACAAACTACACACGGTGGAGCGTAAGATGACCTGTGTTCTATAACACAGTTCCTCGAAATACATCCTCGGGGAGGAATAATATCCCGGTATGAAAATCTAGTTTACTTGTAAATTTTATTTTTTTAAATTATAAAAGATTACATTTAATGAGGATAAAATATTTTTTTTTATTTTGTAATAAATGAAAAATACAAAATGTTTCATTTGTAAAAACGCTTTTTTAAAACTAGGAACACGTTATAACTGTATAACAAATTGAATGTACTGTATATATAGACCAAACTGAGGTTTAGGAATGTCGTAGCTTAATAACAATATATGGACAATATAGACAATATACCAAAAATATACAATTATTAAAAATAGTATTAACTCTGAAAAAACAAATAACCATTGTTCTGTAGTAATAGAATTGACTAAAACAACATGTAAATAATAATATGTGATGCATTTTCCATAGATAAAAAGACATCGGCACAATATATATTTTTAAAATACACGCTTATCCAATCAGAAATACAAGATAATACATTTAAAAAATGTATATAAATATAAACTTTTAAGGCAGTAAAGGCAGTTTTTAACAGTCATTCCTTCCCGAAAATTGCCTGGTTTAAAGGTATAGAGGAATGTTATCGGTATTTTAACTTGTCAATTTTTCCTTTTATAATTAAACGACTTGAATTTCCCCTCATCCTAGCATTCGCCATGACAATGAAGAAAAGTTAAAAACAGACGGTCGGTAAAATTGGTATTTATTTACCAAAGCCAATTTTCAGTTCATGGTATGCTTTATGTGGCTCTTTCCCGATCCAGATAGGAAAATGATTCTATAAGATAAGTAAAGGGTTCATATCCTTACCAAATTTAACACGAATATTCTTCGAAACCCTAGAAAAAATATTGTGGGGTCCCACCCTCAAATCCTGTTAACTTTAGCACGAGCAACTTTTTGTTTTGCACTTTCATTATTGCAAATACTCAGAACAATAAATATACATTTTAGTTACAAAGTTTTTATCATCCTCTCTAAACCCAACTTCACCAATTCCAATTCACTTGAAAGCACGAGCAACGCCGAGTGCACACAACTAGTATTAATATAATTTATATATAGTTTTTGTATCTTATTATTTTATATTGAAAATAATAATTTATTTACAATATTTGAATAATTTTACTATAATTTCTATTGGTAAATTTAAAAAAAAATAAATAAATTACATGTCTATCAATTTTGTGTACAGTATATTTATTTCTTAAACATTTTTTTCAATGATTTTATTTGTATATTCTGTACTTCACAATAATAAGTATTCATCGGTGAAGATTTCTGCTTGGAATAAATATGCCTCGTAATACAATATAGCATGAGAATGCTATATTGTATTATGGATAAAACACATAAATCTCCGAATTATTAAGTTTTTTATTTGATGTTTTAAATCGGTGATGAGCGACTTTTTCTGGATGCGAGCCACAAGTGAACTTCGTAGACTTCTGCGGACCATTTACATTTTTTTTTTTTAATGGAGTTGCAGGCTTTTCAGCCCGCCGAGAAGTAACAATTGATAACTTCCAATAGACTAGGTACTAAAATAATATACGATAATGCTATACAAACTAATAATATATATTTTATTCTCATTGGTCGCGTTTAATTTGAATGTTTTTCATCGTGAATATCAGCTTAATTAATTAAGGTTGCATAATGGCACGACGCAGAATACAAGGAAATAAAATTTCATTGAGAAATCCTCGGGGTCTCAAATTAACATCTCGGGGGCCTCGGGTTGCTCATGACGGTTTTAAATCAATATAAATAATCTTAATACTATTTAAATTGATATGTTTAATGGCATCCTTAAGGATCCTTAAATCATGTAGATATTTTATTATTTTTGAATGATATATATATTTCATATGAATTCATTATCAAATAAAATTGGAAATGTAGTATCATAAAAAATGAATTTACTGTAAGGTAAAAAATTACCAATAAGATAAATAAATAGACAATATCAGAAAGTCTTAAAACAAACCACTCAAATCTTACAGAAAAAATATATAATAACCAAAGGATTAATATTGTGTAATTTGCTTTATAGAATGTAGAGACATACATTAAAACTACAATTAAATTTTAAAATATTTAAATATATATATACAGTAATACAATATATTAAAAATAACGTTTTATAAATACATTTAATATTTAGAGCATAACATTAAAATATATATATAATTTTAGTGTATTTAAATTTAATACATTTTAAAAGTATAATTTATAAAATTAGCAATATTGTCCATTAAGTGATAGAATTTACACGAAATCATAGAATGAAAAATTTCAGAGAAAATTCTTTAAATTCATTTGAACTAAGTTCATTTAAGGTTGAAGTTGGTCCAATTTATTTCTTTCTGCTTCAAGATTTTTCTTTAGCGTTTCTGTGTCTTTACGAAAGAAATTTTCCAGATATTTTATTGTTTTTAATGACCCAACCGCAGATACAACTAAACAATTTTTTTCCGTACTTCTAATAGTTAAAGCCTTTAAATCAACTAAAGAACACAAAATATTACGCAGAACATCAATTTTTTTGTCTCTAGATCCAGGAAGTATTTTAGCCACGAGCTTAATAGGTTTCAGTTCTACTAATTCATTTAATTTATCATGGTGTTTAATTTGATAAAATGCGGACAAATTGCCAGTTGCAGCCAAAATGTTATAAGTGTCTCTAGCGTAAGAAGGGAGCCAAGCTAAATTTTTGGGAAGAGAGGAATTATTTCTAATAGATTTTAAAAAGTCCAAGCATAAATTAACAATATTGCATTTTTTAATATTTAAATCTACATCATCTACTTCTCTTACATTATAACTATTCTGTAATATGCAAGGAATATATTCTAAAAGCCAAAGTTCATTTTCAGGTTGGAATTCTTTCATTCTGCTCATCCAATGACCAATTAATCTGTAAGCCGATGCTATTATATTTGGAGAAATGGAACAACCAGATAGATTGAGTTTATTTTCACTCTCAAGTTTTGGAAATTCATTTATTATAGATTGTAAATTATGCTCTAAAATTGTAATTATTGATGTTTGAAATGTTTTTTCTTTGTCTTGTTTGGCTTTTAAGTCAATCAAATATTTTGAAACGATCCATGGAAAGCTAAGATATTGTGTAGAATTGCTATTATATGTTATAACATACCACGCAGATGCTTTCTTCAATATCTCTTCGTGTATGTTTGGATCTATATTTTCTGTATCATCTGAGATTCCAAATTCTTGATAAAATTCTTTTTTAAAGCGTTTATGCAGTGTTTGTATATATTGAAGAACTAGCTTTTCAGCATCTGAAGCATCGTTTCTGTAAGAATATCGTTGGTGAAGTGTTCGAAAAGCACCAGAAATAGTTTCGATTTCTGTTTGAATTCCATATCTTTGCATCAAAATTTGAAGAAAATTATTATAATTTCTTCTAGATATAAGAGCAGAATTTTTGTATTTTTCCCAACCAGGATAAATTAAATCCGGATCGATCTAAAGTATTGAAATGTCATTGTTAGAATTTATAATCTGATTAAGTTATATTAGATTTATAAATCTTCCAAAAATTATTTTAAAAGATACAGTAGAGCCTCGATTATCCGACCCCCGATTAACCGACCGTCCTAGTTGGCAAATTTCAAATGTCCGCTAGTGATGTGGCGCTACAATATTTGGCTATGTCTTGGCTACTTTAACATTATTTTTACGTGTTTTAGCTGGCAACACTCATTCGACCATGAAAGGGAGCCAGTATTTAAACGAGGCTTAATTTTCTAATTTTTAACGATACAATAGCGACGATTATTATTTTAAAAAATTTTTGTTAGGCTTAACATCGATGAAAATTCAACGCAAAATAGGTTAATAGCGATATACTAATATACTAATTACATGGGATATAATAATATACTACACTAATAATGGATTTTTTCATACTTTTCGGTTATCCGACTTTTCAATTATCCGACCAATCCCAGTCCCCAATTGGGTCGGATAATCGAGGCTCTACTGTATATGAATAATTTTGATATACCAGTAATTAATGTATTATATAATGTGTTTTTGTTTTAAGCATAATGTAATGTAATGTGTTTTTGTTCTTACTCTATGGTTAGTTACCTGTAATCCAAGACTTTCCTGTTCAACATGTATAGTTTTCTGTTCATATATTTCACAATCTCTATATAAATCACCTAAAGCACGTTCTGAACAATAAGTTTCCCTCTCTGTTCTTCTTTCCATAAAATCTGGATATTGTTGTGGCTTCTCCTCATATGTTAAGGATTCTATATAACCAGTCTTTACATAATCTAATGCCAGAGAAAATTTGCGAGCAACTTTTTTGCATATTGGAGAATTTATACCATATTTATCTGAAATTGCCAAGTGGGCATTTGCGATTATGCCAATATGATCATTTTTAATGTATTCTTTTAGCATTTCAGTTGATCGATATATCTACGAAATAAGGAATTTGAGTTGTTTTTACAAAAAATTAAAATAAATTGTTTTTTAATAGCTTACATTAAATAAAGCACTTGATTGTTTATTTTCATCGGGAGAAGGGAAATCTTCTGGTTCTCTGTTATGAGAAAAAAATAACTCTTTCTTCCAAATAACAGCATATTCATCTCCATCTAGATCAGATCCTGTTATTATTAAAAAGTATGAATTCATTATTAGATGATAAACATAAAACTGATGGCATTAAATATAATCTCTCGTTAATCCACATTTTACATTCAAGAAACCTAAAAATACAGTATTTAAAATTATTCCGTGTTCTAATTATAAGGAGTGTAATGTGGGAAGCAATGTAAGTTTTATAAGCAAGAGAAGAAAAACAGGATATTCATTGAATTCATAAACATCATAAAAATTTAAAATTATTTACCGAGTTTATTCGAAAAGTATGAAAATGTTATAAAATATTAGAATTCTGCGTTAATGATAGTTAATATTCAGGAAAATTTCATTACAGATTGAAGTGACTGATTTCAGATAGTTTATCTGGCTAAACCATCTTTTTCGTATTAATATAATAAACATTGTTGGTATGCATGCTTAATTAAATTTATTTTTATTTGAATTAACCAAAAATGTGTTCAACTTTCAAATTAATGCATATAATTTAATGTTAAATAATACAGTATCTGCGGGAAAGACAGTACTGTCTTTCCCGCAGATACTGTAAAAGTTGGATCATTCAACTTTGATATAGGAAAGTTTACTATAATCTAATAATAGGCAATTAAAATTGTTTGTCTTGATATTCAACTTTCTTTATCAGCATAAAAATATAAATCTGAACAGTTTTTATTTCAGAATTAATTTATTATATCTAAATATTTATAAATTTAAAACGTAGCTCGTATTATCATTAAAACAATCAGTTTGAAATTTTAATGAAATAATAAATAAAAATCTCAACAAACTCTATCAAATTGTAAGGATTAATATACCACTTGAGTGTAACAATGCATATCCTTTCATTACATTAGAAACAATAGTGAAAAATGGATCAGAAGTATAAAATGTTCTAAAATAAGCCTTGCCTATATAGCTCTTAAAATGTTTTAATATAATAAAAGAATAAATTAATGCATGCATATGAAATTTGCATGTAATAATATAAGAATTAATTAAATTCATTTACATTATATAGTAGTTATACTGTATTATTGTATTAATTTTCTTATACCAAATGAAATATCGTATCATAAATATTCTAAACTGTTGTTGAATATTTGATAATTTTTTCGTTAAAATTGCTATTTTAAAAATAAAGAATTAATTTGCTTATTAAAAGAAATTTATTAACTCTTTGAGTATGTCGAATATAATCACTTCTAGTGATGCCATGAAAAAATATATATATATATATATAGATAAAAAACTTGAAAGTTTATTGCAAACTTCTAATTTTTCATAATAAAAATAGACTGTATATTTTCATGGCATCACTAGAAGTGATTATATTCGACATACTCAAAGAGTTAATAAATTTCTTTTAATAAGCAAATTAATTCTTTATTTTTAAAATAGCAATTTTAACGAAAAAATTATCAAATATTCAACAACAGTTTAGAATATTTATGATACGATATTTCATACGATATATATATATATATATATAAATGGACGTGTGTGTCCTTATATTTCACTTTTTAGCCAAAACTACACATCGCACATGAATGGTGTTCGTATGTGGTAGTAGCCATAAGGGTGCGGGAGATATAAGGTTGAAAGTGGTTGACTCGAAGATGTGTAACAATGGAAGTGTTGAGTAACAAAGGAAGTGATAATATAAAGGGGCATGCAAGATATACAGGCGGTTTTTTGCGTTTTGCGGGTCCTTGCAGCTAGATTGTAGATTACTTAGAAAAACAGTCTTTTATATATTAAAAAAAACTATATTACATACAAATAAAAACCCAGCGAAGCGGGTCCTTGCAACTAGTAAATATATAAAAGTATACGACAAAACTTATTTTTGATCTTTTGTTACTTGTATATATTACTTGTATTTATACCGTCAATATCTTACAAGTTATTGTCAAGAAGTAATTAATTTAATCTATAAATAATAATAATATACCAGCCATCTCATCTGGATGAGGTCGTTTCCCTTTCTGTGGAAACACTATACAATCTACAATATGATGTAAAGCAGGAACATCAATAGCTTCTAAAATTCGAATATCTCCAGGTTGAGTACAAGGATTTTTTGTCACCAACACTCGACCTGAAATATTAATTAGAAATTAGTTAAAATAACACTTATTTTCAATTATACTTAATCTATAAAAACAATACTTCTACCTGTTTTAATTATTGTTTCTATACTAATTTCTTGGCGTAAAATATCTTTCGTATATTGTATAAATACTTGACCATATTCGAGAGTGGCTGTCTCGTCTAAAACTCCGAACATAGTCCGTCCTTCGTTGGGACTTATGGATAATCTAGCTTTCATTTTAATATCATCTGAAATAATTCATGATTTATAAAAATATTAAAATTCTTATAAAAAGGTCTTCATCACATTATATTTTAATACAAATATTTTAAGGGATTGTAACTAAATCCTTCACCTCACAACAGACTTTTACTTGTACTTCAAGTAAAGGTCTGTTATGAGGTGAAGGTTTCATTTACTATGGAACTTTTTTATCGATGTGTGCTTTCGTTATTGCCCTTAAAATATTTATATTATTAACACGTAATAATAATAATATTATAAATATAAAAAGCCTAGTTTTGCAAAAGTTATATCTTAAATTATAAATCGGAAATACCGATATACATAAAGTTAAATATTTTTGTAATGTACGTAAAGAAAATTGTTAATAAAACTATGAAAAATAAAGACAAAAATAAATTCAAAATATTATATATGTGAGACCCGAAAGGCCCCTGGGCCTAATTTATTAATTTATATTAAATATGTTTAAATATCGACACAAAATATTACTTCATTTTTGTGAAAAACTAGTGTTTTAGACGTGGGAAAAACCAGATAACAGATGCTACTTCCTTTCACAGAAGAGAACATCCTCTGACTTTCCCTTATCTGGTTAAAAATCTCACTCAGATGGGAAATGGTTACCCCTCATTCATCCCCCTTTCGTCCGTTCTCATGAAAGAGTTACTGGCCGATGATTGGTCGAAATTCAGGAGATATAAGGGAAATTAGTCAGAATTCAGGGAGTTCTTCGACAGATCCGAAGCGTCAAACTCCACACAGTTTTCTTCCTGATGACCAACGCCCTTAAACGAGTCCCATAGACTAAGTCCCGAGTCTGAACTTAGTAAAGATACTTTTATATTTGTGCACGTATTGATCTCCCGTACGAAGAAGTAAATGAACTCTATCTACAAGGTGTCCCTTACAGACAGAGAAGAAGACGAACGTCAACTGAATCAGGTTGTATGTTTTATAACGATTTTTGTGAGCTCTCTCTCTCGATCGCG